ACTATTTGTTAACTAATATTGTTTATAACAGTTTAGATAAATTATTTTATGTTTTACTATTTATTTGGTGGTCGTATATTATATTAATTGAATCTGATTTAAGACATGTGTAGTAGCAAAATAAGAAAGTAATCTTTCATTTTTAAAGGAAACTACACAATTAATTTGTTAACTTTTTGTTTTTAAAAAAAATTATAAACAATTGAAGATTCTTAGGTTTGCATGGAGAGATATCTTCAGAAATTGTTCTCCTTTTATTTAAAACAAAAAACACGAGAATCGATTAAAAATTTTAGTCTGTAGACATTTTTTGAGAAGTAAATTGTAAAAAAATTCCATTGTGAGGCGTTTCGTAGAACGCGAGCACCCTGCACGTGATTTTTGAAAATTTTGTACAACTCATTAAACGCGTCGGCCCACTCCAAAACTTTTTGGAAAATCTTCTGTATATTATAAGGTATAAATAAATTTTTAAAAAAAAGGGTCCAAAGTTAAAAAAAATTAATTTGTTTATAAAAAAAAAATTTTTTTTTAATAAAAAATTAAAAAAAAATTTTTTTTTTACATTTCTTAAAAGTTGAAAGAAAACTAAAACTTTCATCAAGTTTTTTCTAAACTCAATATTTTCAGACTTATAAGCTACTGAAAATATGTCTACAGTTACAAATCCAAAATTTCGAAAATTCATAACTCGAAAATTTGGGCGATTAAACAAAAATAAAAAAACACGTATTTCTTTTTTTTCCATATAGATTGAGAAAAAAATATGTTTAACCGAATTCTCAAGGTCATAGGTAAATCTTGCGTGGAATTGCCCATATATGTATAATTATTTTTTTAAATAAATATGTTACAGTTCAATTTATAATTTTAGCACTGCATATAACGGTCCCACAATTCAAAAGGAAGTTGAAGTAAAATCACTTCCAAGCTTGCTATTATATTATATATTATAATTTGCAAAAATAAAACTAAATATTCTTTAGAATCAATAAATAGAAAAATTAAGAACAATGTCTAAAATTTTTGGAATACATATTTAATATTGTTTTATCAATAAGTAATTAAATTCAATCATTCAATTAAACGTACTCATAACCATAAAAAATAAGGATAAGTTTGACAGTTTAATGTTTAAATCGTTTAATTTTCAGTTATAAGAGTACTGTTATTAAAAAAATCGAATTATAAATTAAAATAAATAACATACTTAAAATATCCAGGCCCGCACATCTTTTTTGTAGTCTTATTTCCTAAGCGAATTTACACTACAAATTTGAATTTTTTTTTTAAATTGATTTTTTGTAGAATCTATTTATTGCTTTCAGTTTTGCGCTTAATGAAAATCATGTTGGAGATACAGAAAATGTAATGTTCAGAAGGATTCAACTTAAAAATTTTGAAGCAAAGCTTTATTCCCTATTACATTCTCATCACATGAGAAAGTATTAGTTTTGGTCGAAAATTGACTTTTGCTAATTTTATGAAATCTTTACGTTTTGAGGTCCCCTGAACCCGAAAAACATGGTCCGGCGAGTCCGTCTGTCTGTCTGTATGTATGTCCGTCTGTAGACCAAAATGTTATTGACACAATAACTTTTGAAAATCTTATCTGATCGTTTTTAAATTTAACACACTTAAAGTTGGTATAAAAATGAAGGCTAAGTTCGTTAACCAGCCATTTTTGTTGAAAACTACAGAAACTATAGTAGTTTCAAAATTTTGAAAACTCAATTTTTTCAAATTTCAAAATTTTTAACATTATATTATTTTATATTAGGAAAATACAAACAACTTTTCTCTATAACATTTTTTCATATTTTTTTTTAAGTTTTTGGGCCATACCAACTTAACTGTTTTATAAAGTTTTATTTATTTTCTGAAATGTTAAAACCTTTCTAAAAATCTGTAGTTTACAACAACCCAGGTGCGATTTTTTGGTCGGCCCATAGTTGGGCCAACTTTTACAAAGTCGGTCCAACTTCTCGTGCCAGAGGTTGGGCCAACCATACAGATGATAACGGCGACCGTCTAATGGCGACGATGGTTGGCCCGACAACTCATAAGGAAGTTGGCCCAACTTACAATGCATATGTTGTGCCAACTATACATTTCAATGGTTGGTCCAAAGACTGACGCCAAAGTTGGCACAACTTTAGATGCGTAAGTTGGGCCAACCACAATTTTCAAAGTTTGGCCAACTTCAACAGCCAAAGGTAAAAAATTATTAAAAAACTACATTATTTAAACAATTAACACGTTATTATGAGCGGGAACATCAGATATAACCTTTACCTATTATTATTAAACACAATCTCATACATACATTTTCGAAAATATCTATCGCTCGCTGGGATCGAACCCCTAACCTAACGCACCGAAGACTTATACACTGACCACTACGCTACGCTCACATGGGAGTGCATAACGCAAAATGTATATTTAAGCTGCAACAGTCGGGTCAACCGTGGCCCAGAGTTCGGCCAACCAAGAAAGTTTAAGTCATTTAAACCGCATTTGACAAAGTTTTGCCAACCGTTGGGCCAACCGTGGCCCAGAGTTCGGCCAACCAAGAAAGTTTAAGTCATTTAAACCGCATTTGACAAAGTTTTGCCAACCGTTGGGCCAACCGTGGCCCAGAGTTCGGCCAACCAAGAAAGTTTAAGTCATTTAAACCGCATTTGACAAAGTTTTGCCAACCGTTGGGCCAACCGTGGCCCAGAGTTCGGCCAACCAAGAAAGTTTAAGTCATTTAAACCGCATTTGACAAAGTTTTGCCAACCGTTGGGCCAACCGTGGCCCAGAGTTCGGCCAACCAAGAAAAATCAAGTCAATTAAACTGCGTTTCACAAAGTTTTGCCCACCGTCGGGCCAACCGTGGCCCAAAGTTCGGCCGACCAAGAAAGTTTAAGTCAATGAAACTGCGTTTCTAGAGTTTTGCCAACCGTTGGGCCAACCGTGGCCCAGAGTTCGGACAACCAAGAAAGTTAAATCAATTAAACTGTGTTTCACAAAGTTTTGCCCACCGTCGGGCCAACCGTGGCCCAAAGTTCGGCCAACCAAGAAAGTTTAAGTCAATTAAACTGTGTTTCACATAGTTTTGCCAACCGTTGGGCCAACCGTGGCCCAGAGTTCGGCCAACCAAGAAAGTTTAAGTCAATTAAACTGCGTTTCACATAGTTTTGCCAACCGTCGGGCCAACCGTGGCCCAGAGTTCGGCCAAGCAAGAAAAATCAAGTCAATTAAACTGTGTTTCACATAGTTTTGCCAACCGTGGCCCAGAGTTCGGCCAACCAAGAAAGTTTAAGTCATTTAAACTGCGTTTCTAGAGTTTTGCCAACCGTTGGGCCGACTGTTGCCCAGAGTTCGGCCAACCAAGAAAAATCAAGTCAACTAAACTGCGTTTCACAGAGTTTTGCCAACCGTTGGGCCAACCGTGGCCCAGAGTTCGGCCAACCAATAAAGTTTAAGTCAATTAAACTGCGTTTCACATAGTTTTGCCCACCGTCGGGCCAACCGTGGCCCAGAGTTCGGCCAACCAAGAAAAATCAAGTCAATTAAACTGTGTTTCACATAGTTTTGCCAACCGTTGGGCCAACCGTGGCCCAGAGTTCGGCCAACCGAAACTGAAAGTCTTTTAAACTACGTTTGGATAAGTTGTGCCAACCTTTGTCGCCAAAGTTGGCCCGACGGTTGGTTAAACTCTGCATTTAATGGTTGGCTTGCAAAGTCGGGCCAACTGTGGGCACAAGTACTTGCCAAAGTTGGGCAAACTCTGGCAACCAAAACTTTGCTTGCCAAAGTTAGGCCAACCTTGGGCCAACCTTCAAACTCTGGCGGCCAACCTAAATTCGCACCTGGGAAAATAAAGAGAACACTTTTAACCGTTTTTTTAAATTATTTTCTTTTGCATCAACAAAATATCACAACATGTTTTGTCAATATTCAGACAATATTGGTTTCTTTATTAGAAAAATAAAATTTTTTTTGGCTGGAGTTTAAGTGTAACTGAAGTGTTTAGTTGTGAAGATGACAAGGTGACGATCCCGATGCTGAATACTTCCTAAAAATTATTTAAAGATTTACATGCAAACTTCGTAGTATTATTTACTATCTAATATTAAAATTAATTGTGTAAAGGTTTACATGTCCCACTTTATTGAATGTTTAGCCTGAAACTTTTCTAAAAATTAAAGTTATTTTTTCATGTAAATCTATTATAGACGTACTTAATTGTACTTAATTTTACAATCATCAGCAAACAAAAATAGGTGATGAGAATGTTATCCTTAAAGTCGTAGTAACTTTAAGAAAAAAAGTTTGATAAAACATATAGTAGGAAAAAGAAAAAAAAGTTTTATAAAACATATAATAGGAAAAAGGATCAAGAACGCAAGTAATGCACAATCTCCGCGAGCGAAGCGAGCTATTTGCGCGCGAAGCGCGCAACAATCTACGGAGCGCGAAGCGCGACGAACAATATTTCGCGCGCCCCGAGGCGCGCTGAAACTTGCGAGCTATTTGCGCGCGAAGCGCGGATTAGAATGTGTCCGCCCGGAGGGCGGGCAGATTTTTTTTTCATATTACTTGTTCAATATGAAAATTATTCACTTGTGATTTAAATATAATTTTTATTGAAAGTTACCAATAAATCTGCTGCAAATAAATTATGAATTAAAGTTTACCACTTATATTAAACAAAACAATTGTAAATCTTAAATATTTCTGTCTAAAAAGTATGCTAATCTAATTTTAAAAAATAGATATCTGTTGAGCGAATTTAGAATCTCTTACGGTAATAGGGCTTTGAAAGTTACAATAAATCTTTCTAATTTGTGTATTATTATTATCATTATTTTATTTGCATTATTCATTTACAATTATATAATAAAACTTTAACTTCCATTCTTTATATATATATACTAAATATAATTTTAATCATATTGTGAAAATAAATTTATAGCTCTAGTAAAAAGGCTTAACATCTTTGCATGTGTTCAATTTATAAATAGTATGTTCTTATAAATAAATGCACTTTCTATTATTAGTAGTTTTAAATTATACTTTTTCCTCTTAAATATTAAAAAAGCGTTAACACACTGTGTCTTGATTTGAAGAAAAGCATATTTATCCATTTGTATTCCAAGGATTATTTCCGGGCAAATGATGACTGCCATCATTACGAGGAAAAGTTGCATATCCTGCATAAGGAATTTGAGGAGCCTGAGGAGGAAAGTTGTAAATACCTAAAATAAAATTAATTAACATTGAACTTAATTTTATGATCAACATTATATTAAAATTAAAATATTATATTTAGAATTTTTATATTGAGCGGTTTCAATTTTAAAAAACAAACAAAATATAGCGTAAAATAAGAAGTAAAAGAAAGTTTTGGTCACTATATTTCAAAATACCTAAATGTTATTCAATTCGCGTAAATTTTGTTACTCGGGGGTTTTTCGGGTTGCTAATTACGAATTCAATGTTATTTAGTTTTCAAAAATTAAAAATGGCGGATACAATATGGAGGAAAAAATGTATTCAATTGACCTTCGATAGCTAATGTCATTTCGATTCTACGGAAAATTTCATGTAAAATTATGTATTGTATAATTTTTTGAACAAGTTATTTGAAATTCGTCGCTAAAAACAGTAAAATTGAAATTAAAAAAAGCATTCGACGGATTTTGAAACTTTCTTTTAGAAAATGTTAAGTGGTATGAAATTTATTACTTGTTGATTACGAATTTAAAATCAGATTTTAAGAATTTAAAATGACAGATGACTTTTCTGAAAATGGATTTCATTTTCCTGAAACTCAAAGCCACATATAACATACTTCATGCAAATCCCATTATTTTGGAAATTTTTTTCCGCTATATTGGATTCGTCATTTTGAATTTTTGAAGTCTGACAATTTTTAAGGAAATTCAATTAGTTGTTAATAATTTTATTTGCTATAATGAATTTTGTCTGCCATATTGGATCAGCCTTTTTGAATTTTTTAAATTTTACTTTAGATTCGTAATCAACAACCCCATAAAGCCCCGAGTCCGCCATATTAAATTTTTTATGTCTGACTACGGATTCGTATTCAACGACCTCAAAATCCCTTGAAAAACAATTTTCAAGTAAATACAATTAGTTTTTAATAATTTTATTTACCATATTGGATTCGCTATTTTGAAATCTGACTTTGAATTTGTAATCAGCAACCCCAAAAACCCCCGAGTAACAAATTTTAAACGAATTTAATGACTCCGTATTCCCTTTCAGCGACTCATAAACATACTTCTATGTCAAAGAAGTTTTATAAAAAATTAAGTTTTGTGATTTTATTCACGTGGCTATATGGTTTTGCTAATAAAAATTTATTTTTGGCGCCATTTTGTGTACGCCATTTTGAATTTTTTTTTTCATAATACCCCTATCTAATAGATCTTTTAGATGTTTTCCAATACAAATACCCACACTAAAATTTGAAAAATTTGAAAAGAACAAATGATTCCGAACGACGTGAAATTTAAGAGCGTTACGGCAGGGTTGCCACGCAACCTAGAAACCTGGAAGGGTCAAGGAATTTAATAAACCTTGAAAAAACCTGGAAAAGTTAGGAATTTTGATCGAAATCCTGAAAAATTGTTGTTTTCTAAAGTTATTGTGTTTATTCTTGAAATCTAATTTTACTTAAATATTTCACAATTAATTCAATTTTAAAATAGCTACGTTTATAATTTTCATAAGTAGATGAACTTCAAAAGATTTTGATTTGAAATATTGTAAAATTTCAATTTTCAATTAATTTAATTAGAAATTTTAAAAAACCTAGTTTTGAAAAAAAATTCTTCTGAAATTAGTTATATTTTTTAATATATATTTAATTGAATATTAAATATAATGGATTTATAGAAGAATTTTAATTAAAAACACTAAAACAAATTGAATTTTGAAGCAATTACAAATGATTGTTCAAAATCAGTTATTATTTTTCAAAGTAGTAAAATTCTTCTCAGAAATTCAATTTTTTAAAAAAAATTTTAATAACATTCTTGGCAAAAATCTTAAAAATTTTATTAAAAATTATCAAAGAAATTCAATTATTTTAAGAACCTTTGCTACAATTTATTTATTACAATTAAATAAATAATAAAATTTTTCTCCGAAATTCAATTATTTTCAAAAATTTTGATAAAATTCTTTGCAGAGAATTTCAATTATTTTTAATACAATTTTTATCAAATCTCTCTAAAAATGAAATTATTCTTAATAATTTTATTAAAATTTGTCAAGATAATTCAATTATTTAAAAATGTGTTGATACAATTTTTTATAAAAATTAAATTTCAAGAAATATTCAATTATTTAATGAAATATTTTTTTTTGTAGTTACATAATTGAATTCTCGTAGAATTTTCTAATAACTATTGATTTAAAAATGAATTTCAGTTAAAACTTAAGATTATAATTGAATATTGAAAGCCTTATATAGCGTCGATTTTTATAAATAATTGTATCTTCAAAAGGTTTCAAATTAAAATCTTTGAAAATTTAAACTTTTCATTCTTTTAATTATCAGAATTCTGTACAATTAATTTTTTTCAAAAAGTGTAATGGAATTTTTTTTTAATTATTTGAAGTTTTTTGAAAATGTTCAAAGAACTTTTTCGAAATCTTACTTTCTATGAAAAATATTAATGATTAAATATTTATTTAATTATGGAGTTATTTAATTTGGTAAAATATAAATTTAGTTTGAAAAACCTGGAAAACCTGGAAAAGTCAGGGAATTTGAAAAGAGCAAAAGCGTGGCAACCCTGGTTACGTTTTCCATGCCAATTCAGTAAAAAACGAATTTATATTTTATTTTTTCTCGTAATCCACTAATAGCCTAAAATAATCTTTGGATGGTAGAAACTAGAAAATCTGAACTTTCTTGTGAGAAAACTTCCAACAAAATTATAAATGACAAATTTTGAGAAATTAACACTCACAGTTTTTAAATGACAATTGAGGCTCCGGATCTTAGAAGGGCACTTTCAGCATTGATTTTAAATGGTAAAAGTGCCCTTATAAGATGCTCAATTAAACCAAAATATAATTTTTAATTTTAAAATAGCTTTATATCATCTTAAAGATTGAGAAAGTCTTAATAAATAGCATTATTTACATTTTAAATTTAAAGTTTTTTAATAGAAAAATCTCCTCATTTGCTAAAGGAGACGTTTCTTGGGGTAAACCTAGGAGGATTTTTTTTATTTTTCAATGTTTCATAGCACTTGGAAGACAAAAACCGATTTTCTCTTAAAAAATCGGTTTATTTGATACTGTAAAATTAGTAATTTTTTCTTTTTTAAAAAAAACTCCCCCGGGGATTGATCAAGTAAATGTTGATTTACAGTGTACATGGACTTCAAAAACAAGTTTCAGAAAAACGCTTCAACCTTTGAGGATCAGATGCACAATATTTGAAGTTTGGCATTATTTTTAAACGTTAAAACGCAATTTAAAAATGTGGTAATATAAATTTCTTAAAGCTCAGGAATCGCTCTTTCAAATGCATCGGAAAATATTGTAAATTTAATAATAAACAAATTACAGATGATTATTAACTATAATAATTTGAATGTTCTTTCATTCATTCAATGTTTCTGTCCCTTACACTATGAAGTTGTCTTTTGTTTCTACTTTTGTTTTTTGTTATCTTTAGATAGATTGTATATTATATTATTATGTTATAATTATTTTTATTTTATCATTAATTCAAAATTGTAATTCATTAAAAGACTAAAATTTTGTTAAATATTATGTTTTGTCAAATTAAAATTATGCAGATTTTTGTTCTTTATTTATAAACAAAATTAGAAAACTGTTAAACAACTGTGATTAAGAAATAAAAAATCTATTTATTTTGCAATATTTTTGTTTATGAATCACAATTTTTTTAACACAATTATTATTTTGTTTTAGAAAAAAAAGAAAAATATTTGCACAATTTCTATTTTTAATCTTATTTTTGGAACAGGATTTTCCACAGGATTTAAGATATTCAAAAATTTCAAATTCACACCTTTTTTAAATTAAATAACTTATAAAAGTATTGTTATAAAACATGAAGATATCGACTGCTCCGAGTAGAAGACTCGAAGTGATCGATTTCTTCATGTTTTATAATAACTGAAGATGACCGAGAGATAAAATCATTATTTTATATTATAAGAATATTTTTATTCTAAGTTCTTCAAAAATTATTTTCATTATTTCAATTCAATTATTATTTTCTAGAATTTTGAATTATTTTTTATGAAAATAAGAATTGAATTCCTTAAAAAATTGTATCATTTATGAAAACAATTAAATGTGTATATACAATTTTTTTTAAATAATTGAATTATTTTTTGGGAAATTTTATTAAAATAGTAGATATTGTAAATCATTGAAATTAGAAAATTTTTTGAAAATAATTGAAATTAGGACAATAATTTTTTTGACATTTATGAAAATAATTGAATTTATTTTCAAAAATTTTAATAAAATTCTTGGTAAAATTTCAATTATGTTAAAAATTTTTTAAAAATTCTCGTCAAAAATTCAATTATTTTCAAAGATTTTAGTCAAAATTTCAACATTTAATTATTTTCATAAATAATAAAAATTTCACAAGAATTCAATTATTTACAAATTTTTTATAAATTTCTTCGCAATAATTCCATTTTTTTCATAAATAATAAATTTTTTTTAAAGGGATTCAATTATTTTCATAAATAATAAAACTTATCGTAGAGTATCAATTATTTTTAATACAATTTTAATCAAATTCCTCGAATTTTTCACACTTTTAATCAAAAATTCTGTAGAATTAATTTTTTTGAAAATGTTTAATTGAATTTTTTTTAAATTATCTAAAGTTTTCATTTTCTATAATATATATTTATTTAAAAAATTTCCGCATAATCAAAATTTCGGAAAAATTGTATTCTAAACAAATGGATTTAAAAATTCTCAAAGAACTTTTTCAAAAATTATTAAAAATCATTGATTTAAAGAAAAATTTCAGTTAAAAATTCTAGAAAATAGTAATTGAATTGAAATGATGAAAGTAATTTTGAAGAAGTTACAGTTATCTTTTAATTATTATAAAACATAAAGAAAGCAATCACTCCGAGTCAAAAACTCTAAACAAAATTCTTCTAAAAAATTTATTATACGAATATTGTTACTGCAACTTCATCAAAAATATTTTCATAATTTTAATTCAATTATTATTTTCTAGAATTTTAAATTATTTTTTATGAAAATAATTGAATTCCTTAAAAAATTTGTATTATTTATAAAAATAATAATTGAATTTCTGCAATTATTTGTAATTTCTCCAAAATTAAATTTTTTAGTGTTTTCAGCAAAAATTTAAATTGAAAAATTTTTCAATTCTATTATTTTTAAAATTGCTAATTTTATTTAAAAAAGACAGTAAGAAGTTAGCCGCGCGAATTGTTGCTAGTTTAATAAAAAACATGAATTTTGAAGTAGATTACTCGAAAAATGTAGCGTACTCAATAATTGGATTTGATTTTATTGGAGTCATTTATAAAAAAAACTTGAAAGTTTAAACACCTCATAAAATATTATCTTATTATAAGTGTATAATTTTCTAGACAAAAAATGACTGTATACCTTGAACAGAATATGGCATTGTAGCGTATGGATTGTACGTCGTTGGCATTGGAGGAGCAACATAAGTTTGATAAGCAGTTCCGCTAATATTAAGAGGAACTGGCATTCCACCTTGATATTGTAATGGGTACGGTAAATTCATCCCAGTGTCCGTAACTGTTTCGGATGAACCGGGCCCTAAAACATAAAATTATTGTCAATGTTAATGAAAACATTTTTATCGCGGTTTGTCTTTCTTTTATTTCTCTTACTAATATTGTTAATTTTCCATAAATTTAAATTTAGAGCGCCGAATTTGTTATTAATTTTCCTGATAGAACTCCCTTTAAATGTATGAATTAAGAAATAAATATTTTAAAAAATAATAATAATAACAATTTAATGGTGATTCTCATGAAAATGACAATATATTATTCACTATTTAAATAATTTAACAATTCTTTAGATTTATTTATTACTTGTCTAAAAATGTTCAAATTACATCTTATTTTATGGTTGGCAGAATTTTTAATTATTGAAACTAACCGTAGAACATAAAATTACATAAATACCTTCATGATGAGAAGGAATAGCAGGTGTTAGAGCTGGCCCAGAATGCCCTAAGTTTGTTGTTAAATCCTTAAACAACTCTTCTTTTTCAGTTTTCCGAGCGAAACAGAAATCAGATATCTTATTTTGGAAGACCACTAGCAACTGGAAACAAAATTTGTAACAGTAATTAACACTTGATCTTAAATAAATTATAATTTAAAGTAAAATTTTTATATAGAGCATTCTTCATTAAAGAATTTTTCTATGGGATCAAAATATAAAAATATATTTCAAGAAAACAAACTTCATTTCAAATATGGTCCTTATTTTGTCACATATTTAATTTTTTACTATTTTATTAGTACACTTTTTATTTAATTCGCCATATTGGTCGACATTTTTGTGACACCAATTCTCTCCATTTCAGTTTTAATCCAAAACCTTTTATAATAGCTCAAATTAAAGGTAGAAATATGTAGGGGAGTATAGTCGAGGTTGGACCACTGTCTAGGTAGGCCATCCGCGATTTTTTGGACAAGTTCACCAGCGCCACCTACGCGCATACTTGTCGAAGCTTGTCTTGGTGAAACCTAACTTTTTGTTCAATTACATTTTTGGAGAATCGAAAATTGTGTTTTCTGTGACGTCGGTACAAAAAAAGCTCAAAAAAAGTTTTGTGCATCATGTGAAAAATCATTAATAAAAGATAAAAAAAACATTGAATCGTCAAGGCAAGCATGCAGAAATTTTGTGGGACTCATGGTTGAAAGAAAATCAAAGTGAAAAATCAAATCCCGAAACGTATTTCCTTATGGTTACAACAATTCGGTAATGTTACTCTCTGTCAAGGTCGGCCACTTTGTGTTTAAAATGCGCACACGGAGAGAAGAAAGTAGTCAATCTTACTCAGCCCTGAGTCATAGTTACTAAACAATATGGTGACATTTTCGTTCAACAAAACAAAAAGTAATCTTCACTAAACGGCCGTTTAGTTATTAAGACTACTAACTTCATTAGTATCGTCTACGATATAAATTGTCATATCTGCGATTCTGTTTACAATTTACGAAAATAAAATTTAACCTCTTTTATAATAATTAATATAATAGTTAACACTTTATAAATAATTAATTATTTAGAAATAATTATTATTAACTAATTATTCTTCCAAAAATTTGTTATATATGCGGGGAACGAGAAGAAAATCAAGTAATATTTTACAAAAATACACTGACGGTGATATAAGGTAACAATAATAAATCAATTTAAAAATTATAATTTCTGTAATTGTTTAGTTAAATAGAGAAAATTATAAGAGCTATATTTCTTTTCAAAACATATTTGTCGCATATTTGAATAAACAGCTAAACTTTTTTTTATAATTATTATGATAACAATAACCTAATATTTGTTGTAATAACAAGCATAAATAATAAGTATAACACTGCAAATAAAGTTTTGATAAATAATATTTTTTCTCGATTTCGTTTAATTTTTAATAGGTAGCTTTTTAATTAATTTTAATATTTTTTTTAAAGTTCAATTAATAATATGATTAAAAATGTAAACAGAATTAGTTTTGTCTGCTTTACTAAGCAGACATTCATCCTTACTACTATGTTTAGTTCGATCGACAAAAAAAAAATTGAACGCTGTTTTGTAACCTTTACTTAATATTTATTTGTCACAACTCAAATTTTCTTACTAAATGCGTAATAGTACAACTCACTATAACTCTTCTCTCCGTGCAAAGATGAGGACGAGCTACTTCATTTGCAAAAACTGAAATTCTGTATAACTCATAATATAATTGATCATCTTATTAATATTTTTATTTAATTTTATTAATATTTCAGTGCAAAATTTTTTTTTTATTTATATTTATTTTTTATATTGTTTATTGTTATTATTTTGTTATTTCAATAAGTTACAAGCTGTAAACAATAAAGAATCAATTTTCCGTAACTCCAAACATTTTATTTTATTTTTTAACGATTAATGCCCTTTGGATTTTAAACATGGCCGACCTTGACTGTAAGGACCAACCTGGACTGCAAATTTTTTTTTTTAAATCTTTATAACTTTTTCATTTTAAAACCAACCAATTTACTTTGTACAGAAAAGATGTTCCTATTAAACAGGACTTTCCAACCATATACTTCAATTGTCCAAATTCATTTTTAAAAAAAGTTATAAACAAAAGTCAAAAGGTGGGCCGACCTCGACTATGTTTCCCTACTTTTTAATGTCGTTGGACCCATAATATTAATTTAAAAATTTTATTAAAATTTGTCAAGAGAATTCAATTATTTAAAAATTTATTGACAAAATTCTTTATGAAAATTCAGTTCTAAGCAACATTCAATTGTTTAATAAAATATTTATTTTTATAGTATTAATTATTTCGTAAATAATAAAATTTTCACAGGAATTTAATTATTTTCATTCAAACACAATTTTCATAAAATTTTTCGAAAAAAGTCCATTAATTTAAAATGATTTATATAAAATGCTTCGCTAGAATTCAATTATTTAAAAAAAAATTAATAAAGTTCTTTGTAAGAATTCAATTATTATTTGCAAATTTTTTATAAATTTCTTCGCAATCATTTCATTATTTTTACAAATAATAAAATTTTTTACAAAGATTCAATTATTTTCATAACTAATACAATTCTTTTTAGGAATTCAATTATTTTCATAAATAATAAAACACTTTGCAAAATTCCAATTATATTTAATACAATTTTAATCGAATTCCTAGAAAAATTTGTTTATAAAATTCTGTATGGGATTTCAATTTAAAAAAACATTCAGTTATTCAATAAATTATTAATTTTTGTATTTAAATAATTGAATTTTCATTGAATTTTCTAATAAAAATTAATTTCAGTTAAAATTCTATAGATAATAATTGAATATTAAAAGCATTATTGTATAGAATTTTTAGAAATAATTGAATTCTGAAAAGGTTTCAAATTAAAATCTTTGAAAATTAAAATTTTAACTAACAATTCTGAAAAATTAATTTTTTTCAAAAGTTTTAATTGAATTTATTTTGAAATTTGTTATAGTATATTAAGCAACAAGAGGAGAAAGGCAGCCATTTCTTTACGGTGATTTTTGTGACACGAGTGGAGATCGAGGGCGCCGTAGGCGCCCCGAGACCGGAACGAGTGTCACAAAAATCATCGTAAAGAAATTGGCTGCCTTTATTCTCGTGTTACTTACGATATTTTTTATTCCTAATGCACAAAAGCGGCGATTTCAGTTAGCAGACGACAGGGAGTAAAAGTCATTCACTTGTTCGATTTGTATGAAAATGGCGGCCGTCTTCTCCCTTGGGCAAGAAAAATGCATGTGAACAGCTAATTTTCTTGCCCTTGAGAGAACACGGCCGCCATTTTCATACGATCGAAGAAATGAATGACTTTCCTCCCTGTCGACTGCTATCAGAAAGCGCCGTTTTTGTGCATGTGGGATAAAAAAGTTGTTATTTTCTAATGTATATTTAGTTGATGAATGTCAGAATTATCGAAATTTCGTAAAATTAAATTGTAAACAAAAGAATTTGAAGATTTACAAAAAACTTTTTCAAAAATTATTTTAAAAAAAAATTGAAGAATTTTAGTTGAAAATTCTAGAAATGAATAATCGTAATGATGAAAATAATTTTTGAAGAAGTTACAGTAACAAAGTAGCAAGTTTTATAATAAATATTCTTATATGTTATTGAATTTATAATTTTTGAATATCTTAATTTTTATAAAAAAATTATTAAATTTTACAAAATACAAAATGGCGGATCCAATATGGCGGATTCATTTTTTAAAAATCGTATTATTTTGCTTAAAAATTGTTGCTTAGGGGTTTTCGGTGTCGCTGATTACGAATATGAAGTCAGTTTTGCAAAATTGAAATTAGCAGTTCTAATATATCGGAAGTAATTTCAATATTAAAATGATTTTGGTCGATATTTATTTTACGGGGGTTTTTCGGGTTGATAATTACGAATCCGATGTTACTGTATAAAACTAAAATATCGATTCCAATAGAATTAACCAATGCTTGATAGATAAATAGTTTACTTTTAATTTGTAATTAAAGATTTTGTATCATCAATTGCATTGGGAAATCTTTTTATTAGTAAATGTCTTGCTGCAATAAATGTAACTGAGTGACTTCTAAGTGAGACCAGTATACTAAACTTTTATAAATGATCGTGAGCTATTATATTGATTATTTATTATTTGGTTTTTGTACCATTATTACTCACCTGAGTTAAATCATTGTAAAACTTTGCACCTTCTTTCAAATTGTTTTTTAATTCTTTAAATGAATCAAAAGCTGCAGCCAGTTTACAGAGTATTTCTTCACGAGCAGTTCCGCTTCCAGATTGCTCTTGCACAAAATGTTTATGTTGAACCTATTATAACAGAAAAACTTTATTATTCTTTATTCTTCCTCGGCAATTGTGTGGATCCCTTTTTTGTGAACACGATAACTCAAAGAGGTTGTAACGAATTTTGATAAAAATTCTTACGTATGTAAATACTTGAGAACAAACAAGTTATTTACCTGAATCTTACTAATTAATTCTTCTTGTCTGCTTGCACTTTCTCGAACTTGTTTTTGTAAAGGACCATAAATTTTTCCTATTTGCTCTACCGATAAATTAGGCTCATCAATAACGCCATCCTTAACTAATGCTGACAAAAACACTGATGTCATATCTGAAGTAGCAGATTTTAATTCACTTTCAATTACATCTCGTTCTGCTTTTAAAGTTTCCACCTGAAATGAAATATTAATTTTATTTAATTGTCATATGAGCATTTTTAAATTTTTATTTATTTCCTGTAAAATTTATTTTACAGATGTTTTTTTGATATTAAAGGGGAAGAAACACCGATATTTTAACTAGGGTAAGTGCATTTAGATGTCATTTTGTCCGCAGCAACTGAAGCACATGCATTTCACATGCATGTTTCAGCTTCTGCAGTAAGCAGAATATAAAGTTAAATAGTAAAAGTAATTTTATTTTAAATGCATATCTTTATAGAAAATTGTATCAAGTATTGTTCAAAATAATTTTTTCAACATTTTTTAAACATTAATATTTTCTCAAGTGGTAAATAATTACACATTTCACAAACGCGCAGCAATTGATGCACTTATCCTATATCAAGAAAATAATTTAAATATTCTACAAAATTATTTTTAAAATATTTTTTTGAGGAATTCAATGGTCAGAAAGTATTTTGACCCTTTTTGAATTTTTATTATTTTCCTTAAAAATGGGTAGATTTTGAAATTTATAAATAAGTTAATTTAGCTTACTTGTTCCATTAAATTTCGAAGTTCTGTAACAATATTGCTCTCTTGTATGGCTGTACCAGCAGGTATACGATCCTTTAAGTCGCCTTCTTCCAAACTAAGTATTTCCATACTTTGATGATGATCGTCAAATTTGTTTCGAATAACCTATTTCAAACAAAAAATAATGAGATACTATTATTTTAAACGTGATATATTAACTGAGAGATTCTAAATGTACACAGTTAATGAATGCCACGCTTCTCGTTAAGAGCCTTCCTTCTTGCGACTTTCAGCATAAAATTTATACTTTGCATGTAACTTTTAAAATAAAACAAAAACAAATTAATTTGGACCACAAACATAAAAAAAATCGTTTTTTATTGATCCAAACTCGAATCTGATGTCAAAAATAAAGTTTTACAGCATAATCTCAGGGCGGACAGTAATAGATAAGATTATAGGAAAGTCATTACATTTAGGGCAATTCTCAGACTCATATAAATGAAAAGCGCGATTTCTATTATGTATTAACAACTACATTATTTCTGTTAATAGAATAATACTAAAAATTAATTACCTTATCAGCAGAAACGGCAGTATTTATAATTCCACGATACTTTTGAGCATTCAGAACAAATTGTTCAGTTAGTCTTGCGCTAGGAATCCTGGTCCAACGTTCTTTGAACTGAGTTTTTAAATTTTCATCGGATTCACGTTCCTCGTTTAACATTCTTTCAGTCTAAATAAACATAAGTTTTACATTATTCAAATGTTTCTGTTTATTTTAGTTAGATTTACTTAAAATTTGTCAAACTGAGAATTTAAGAGTCATTCCATTATATTTCGACTAAAGTCGTTGCTGACTAATTTTAAAAAATTATAATATTTTGCAGGAATGATGTTAAAGATATTAGGATCACGGTGATCCTAATATCTTTAACATCATTCCTGCAAAATATTATAATTTTTTAAAATTAGTCAGCAACGACTTTAGTCGAAATATAATGGAATGACTCTTAAAATGAATTTCTACATTGCACAAAAATTTAAACCAACTTGTGTCAGACATTTTGATTTTCTATCTTTTTTTTGTGACATATTTTTTAAAAAGAGACAACAAAAAATTGCTACCACAAAAGAGTCGACACCAGATGGCGTATCACAGTTCTGCGATTCCCAATGGAGAAATTTTTTTTATTTTTTCTAGATTATGAGAAGTTTTGCATTCGTGAAAAATTCATGATGATAGTGTATAGAAGTATTACAAGAACGTTTACTAAATTATAATATAAGAATAATATATTTATGTTACTGTACCTCGTTCAAAATATCCTCATTTCTCTTAAGCAATTCCGGCAATTCATTCATGGCAGCTTCCAGAGCTACTATACCACCTTCCGCCTTTACAAAAGCAGCTTTATCTATTAAAGACTGCGGAATATCTACTCCACTAGTATCTTCAATTGCAGCAGGCAAATTTAAGTTTGCTAACACTCTGTTGAAATAGAAAAAGGACTTATGCACAGAGACGAAATTTTAAATTTATATTTATAGAAAACAGAGACCCATCAAAGACGAGAACAACGGCTAATAAATTAATAATATTAATTGGAATATTGTCTTACCCGTTAAGAATTTGAGTCATTTCCCGTAGTTTCGAAATTTCGCCGTTGACAACTTCACTTCGTCTAGTTTCATAGGATGTAATAGAGTGATATACACTAACTGGCAGCAGATGTTCAAACAAATCTAAAAAATTCCAATAATAATAAAGTTTCTTGATATAGAATATATGGCGACATCAAGTTGTACATTTTTTACTTCACTTTCTGTTCCGTTAGTGACTTCAGTCACGCAATTAATTTTAATAAAGTAATTTTTAAATATGAATTAAAAGGTTTTTTTATATTTTATTTTATTTTTTTATATTTTCTTTTCTTTTTTTTATCAAGTAGAAGAAGCTAAATTCGGAAGTAAGTACATATACTTATTAATTACTTTTAAAAAACGATGTATAAATTTTGGGTCACCACACATTATAATGTTCTTGGGGTCGTTGATTACGATTTTACAGTCATATTTTCAAAATTTAAAATTCGGATCCAATATGGCGGACCAATTTTAAAAAATTCAAATTTTCTACTCGTTTGGCCTGCACGAGTGGTTTCTGTCTTCAAAGTAACCCCCCACGGGGTGGAGACTTCTGTCCTCACTAAGGGTATGGCGAATCCAGGGTGCCCGAGCTGGGTATAAGTAAACGCTGCTTATATCCTAATACCGTAACCAACAGGTGTACTTCAACGACCTCTGTGATGCGGGACAGAGAAACGTTGTACATTTGTTGACCGAAGACTTGGCTTAACCGCCTGGTCGCGCGATGGGGACCCTCTATATGGTCCCCCCTAATCCTAAGCTTGAGCCGTGCGGCGAGGGGATGCGTGATTGAGGGGTGCCAATCTTAAGCACGAATGCTGAGTATTTACGAATTGAAGTTTGAATTATTTTTTCCTTCACTTAAGGGTGGTTCATTGGGCACCCGTCTTCTGCACTCTGGGCATTGTATATCTTGTCTCTCTTATGAGAAACAAGGAATTCCTTGCCTCCAAATGCGTTTTTCCATTCTTCTCTTATCAGTGATTGATAGCTCGCATGCTGAGCTAGAATAAGTGACTCGTCGCTTCGCTGTGTGAGTTGCAGTATCAACTCGGGTTGTGAACTGCAAAGACACTAGGGATTAGAAAGGTCCTGCCCCAAACCGAGGGTCCATGGGTACTCTCTGGCTCGCCATTTCAGTGAGAAGTCGGATGTTGGTATACCTATATGGGGAGATCCATCACGTTAAACAAACGAGGCGATGTCTTCAAAGTATCGCCTATGCCATCACATGATCCTTTTCCATGTGCTGTTGCATGGGAATGCCACTTTGCATCTACATCAAAATCTTTTTTGTAATGAACGAGATTACTAATGTGAAATCGATTTTTATAGTGTTGCTTTGCCCTAGTAGTAAAATAAAATAATTTACTTAGTTTTGAGCAGACCTTTTTAATTTCAGGTATTACTGTTTGTTGAATTAAAAACACTGCTTCTGAGTCGTGAGCTCCACTATTTGATAGTAATATAATGCTACAATGCTCCACCATGTCTCCATGCTTATAGTAAAAAGTGACTGGCAAAGTGTATCGTGCACTGATCATTATTATAATGAAACTATTAAAACCCTTGAGCCGCATTTTCTGCAACAAATCCATAATTTTCTGTGTAATCAGACTGAAAAATAACATCGAATCAACAGATAGTTCAGAAACATAATCTTCCTCAGAAAAATACAACTACTTCAAAGTACATCTATAGGTTGATTGCCAAGAACTACAAATTATTTCAGAAACATTGTTTTCTTCTAAAAATTTTCCAGAAAAGTTTTCAATCCCGGGACATGTTGAGCACTGTAAACAGAAGCATAATGGTTCAGGGTTTTGGCATAAACTTAGTCAATCATCACTTTGAAATTTTCGTGGATGACGCAAATACACACACTACGTGTACCTGAAGAATCAGAACAAACACAATTTTTTGGGCGCAGCTCTGCAAACTTAGTCAACCCTATAGGCAATTTAGGATATTGTTTCTGAAACTGTGAATGTAAATCTTTTATGTCAGACAATAAAAGCCTTTTTGTACTTTTTCAGTTCTTCCATTCATCTTAATGTCCTTAGTGTCCTTTTTATCTTTCATTATACGACTATTTCTACCAACTGATAGAAGTGACGCGTGGTCTGAATTGTCACATCAGGTAATTTTTTACAAATTTTTGCATCAGGTGTTGCTAAAAGTCCTTCTGCTTTTCTCAGAAGTTTCGCCTTTTTGCTTGTCTTTCAGAGCAACCAAATTCTGAAACAATCTGTTGCACACACGAACATTCAGGAGCTGCTGTAAGTATACGCAGTCGTAGAGGATCATTCTTAGGAAGAATATCTTGAGATATCTTGCAGATATCTGAGGAAATAATTTCAATAATTCTTTTAATATTGTTCTCAAATCGGAACCCTTATGTTTTTTCGGTTAAGAGGATCATGCACTGATCTACACAGAGCAAACCTGAAGAAAACCCCGAGTTAAAAGTTTCGATCAAATTCAATAAAATTTGTCAACCATATTGGATATACCATTTTGAATTTTTAAAATCCGACTTCAAATTCGTAATCACCGACCCCAAAAACATTAAAATAATTTGTGGTGACCCAAAATTTATGCATCAGTTTTTAAAAGTAATTAATAAATACAATTGCGTACTTTCGAGTGAATCTTGTAGCTTATATATTTTTGTCACGTTATTTGTTTGGAATTATTTTCTGCTATTTCGTAGTAGAAAAAATTGAAAATTAAACAACAATTTGAAAAAATTGTCCTTTTTTATAAGAAACATTAATAACTTGTTTGTTTATAAATTTTTAATTTTTTTTATAACGCCATTCGATAGAACGCATATGGGTGATTTTCACGTAACTGCAATTTCAAAATCAGTTTTAAAAGAAAAAAAATTTTGTTTTTTTTAATGTTAAACATCACTTTTCCTCATCATTAGGGCATAATATAGTTGTAATTTGAACGGTTTTACTACAGCTATAATTACAAAAAAATTATAACAAATTTTTGAAAATTGGCTGCCACGGAGCTGACCACCCTATGTATTGAATTATATTGCCGTCAACTGCCACTATTTTATGTACGTGAGGCATTTAATAAATAAAATTATTAAAAACTTCAATTAAAATTTATAAGTTTTTCAAATTAGTTTTAAAACTATTTCTCTCGTTTCTCTTAAAATAACTTGAAAAGTGTATTAGATATTAAATTGTTATTCATTTAACCTTGAAATATTAATTTCAAGTTTTTGAAAAATATGATATTCAAAACGTTTAAAAAAGCTCCTATTGAAATGATGATTCAAAGTTATTTCCATGTGTTTAAATGATAGTTTTATAATTATCATGACATTTTTTCATTACTTTTAGGCGGTATTTCAATTCTCCTCATTTCCTCACGTGGTCTCATTGCGAATAATAATTCATTTATTGTATTTTGGTGTTAGAAAAAGTAAAATATTTTTAAAAATGTCGTTGCACAACGACAACTATTTAATTAAATTTGCATATGTGCGTTATACAAAACAAAAAGACTTCGAATCAGTGTGTGTAAAGAGAATAAAAAATTGGGATGCTAGAAATTTCGATGAGCATAGAGTGTATCTGGTTAATATTAGTATTGATAACAAACTTCATCACGCTCAAATAATGTTTGTTTCAGATTCAATAGCCGAACTGAATAAAAAAATTGAAAAAAGATCCAAGAGAATGCAATTTTTTAGTTCAAAAATAGATCAGTCATTGTCTCAAGAGGAGGAGGATTTTTTTTGTAAAGATAAAAAGAAGAAACCAAAAAAAAATTCCAATAATCAGCGTTTTAAACGCGTAACACAAAGGAAAATTTGAAGAAAAAATTAATCAAACTTAAGAAAACTGACTTGCTAGGGGAAAAGACCCCTGAAAAAGTTTCTACACCAACATCGGTTAAGAAACATCTTCATTTCAATATTCAATATGAAGAATGAATAGGATGATCAAGAATACTCGGCAGAAACTACCTCTACTTTAAATTCTAAAGAAACTTATGATTTGAGTGAAATTGATGGAGAAAAGATTTGTTTCTAATGTAATCTTCAAAAAAATTGTAATAATTACAACAGAGAGTGTTTAGACTCAGTTTAGATTAAAAGAATAGTAATAGCACGGTACTTACCACTTTTTTTGTAAACTTCACATTTTTACAAAAAAAATTGTTTTTAAGTGTAGAACTTCCAATTTTAGAACTTTTTTTTTACTGATATTTGTTGCTAATGGATCTTATTTTAGATTGTAATTCTCGGATAACATTAAAATGTGCCACAAACACTTAAATTATAGGGGGAAAAATCTTTTTATAAAATTGAAAAAATTTGTGAACAAAACTATTTTACATTTTATAATTTTATAAGAAGTTTTAGAAGATGTATTATATGCACAAATTGTTCATCTATATACACAATTCATATTATAAAAATGCTCGTTTCCAGTTTCGACGTTTTCAATAAAATTTCTGAATTTTAACTTAAAATTTTAAAAAACGGACACGCCACGGAGCCGACATTTTGGAGTGAATTCCGCAATTTATCAAAAATTATAATATCTATTTGTACATATTTGTGGTTGCGAATAGGTTTTATATATATTTGTAAAATGTATTCATACCCAAGTAAAAAATTTTTATTTTGAATGTGTTTTCTGTGACGCCGCCAAATATTACAGTTACGTGAAAATCACCTATATGAAAACACAAGAAATGATGATTCATGAATTTTTCTATTGATTTTTAAGTACCGAAATAAGTCCTCAAACTTCATGCCAAAATTTTGTACATTTCGGGGTTAAAGGGTTAATTTATATTCCCTATAAAAAGGATTCCTAAAGAATTATAAATCCTACACACGGAAAAAAAGGATTGTAGGCCGGCTGTCATAAGAGAACCACATAGAGAGCTGGTCGTTCTCACTGTGAGAGCCCTCGAACCCCACAGCTGACGACAAAACTTTATAGGATTCTATTTAGAATCCTTCAAAAAACTTATACCTTCCGAAGTACAACTTGATAGATTTATGTGAAAAAAGTTACTTTATCTTTATAGTACTTGTTTTACAGTAATTATAATGGGTAATGCACATACCTTTGAATCCAGAACTAAATGTTTCTGGTACAGGAAACAATTTTGCTAATGAAGCTTTTCCAACAGGATCTAAGCTCTTTACGTCAGGAATTCTTTCATGATAAATAAAATCATTATCCTTTTTTGAATCATTATAATTTTTTTGAGCTTTTATAGCATAGTCTTGAAATAACGTAGGTTTATTGGAACGATTTTGTGCTGTTTTAAAAAGCTCAACTGCATACTGAAATTAGATAAACGTAAAAAATATGTCGAACATATTTCTGTTTTTAATGCAGAAAAATAATTTTATTATTTACCTCTAATCTCGCTATTTCCATGCCAACTTGTTTTTGAGTTTTACAAACCAAAGATTGATAATATTCGGCCAAGGCGTGATAGCCTGCTTGTTTGCCAGCCATCTAATAATACAAAACAATGTTAAAAAATAACAAATAAATATAAAGTAACTAATTTGGATATAGTTTTTATAAAAAAGTCAAACTTTTTTATTTTGAAAGTTGGAAATGATTTCCAAAAAGACATGTCAATTAAAAATTATTCAATTTGACGTTTCAGAACTGGATCCAGTTCCCTCTTCAGAAATTTATTTTATTACATATTGTTTTATAAAATTAATAATTAATTTTGTTCACATTAAATATTGTAAAGAAAATTAAAATTTTCATTTATAAATGGTTTTTATATCTATATGTTATAATCTTTTTTATAAAGGTTTGATATGTTAGGTAAAAAGACTTTTGAAAGAATTTTGTATAAGGAAGTACTTTTATTAGTGTTATTATGTGAAGTAGATGTTATGGAACAGATAAATTCTTTTTATGTACAAGCTCAGACGTTTATAATGATATCTCACGAACCGAATCAGATTTTTAAACTTTTGGTCTTAAATTAAAGATAAGACTTGAGTGATCACACTTATGTAAGTTTCAAATTTTTTCTACAAATTTTAAAAAATGTGCAAGAGTTGAAAAAATTTCCAAAAAAATTTTATTTTTTAATTTTTTGTCAAATTTGTCGATTGCTGCAATCTTTGTATAAATTATTAAAATTTTTAGTTATGTATTATTAATCGTAGAATTTAATAATCTTTCGAATGGTGTATTTGTTAATTTTCCGACATTTGTACTTACAAAAAAATCGTGATTTATAGATTAGTATGTTTTTGGGCCGTGCGCGTACAGCCGTACCAATAATTCCCGACGGTAGTGTATATTCTTTAAATGAACCTAAATAAAAAACTACACGTGAAAAAAAAATTTTTAATGGAGATGAATCAAAGTTATCTATTTGTTAATTAATATTGTTTATAACAATTTAATTAATTATTTCTTAAACAAGGAGAACACATATTCTTTAAATGAACATAAATAAAAAAGTAAACGCCAAAAAAAACTTTTTTATTGAATAGGAATCAAAGTTATCCATTTGTTAATTAATATTGTTTACAACAATTTAAATAAATTATTTTATGTTTTATTAATTGCCTGGTGGTCATTTTGGATTAACTTGAACTGATTTAAATCATGTGCAGTAACGGAATAAGAAAATAAACGTCCTCTTTAAAAAATTGTATTAATTTGTTAACTTTAATTGAACTAAACGCTTCAGAAATTTTAAGCCTGCAATAATAGTATATTAAACAACAAGGGGACAAAGGTAGTCGTTTGTCTACAGTGATTTTTTTGACACGAGTTTGCACCCCGAAATTTTCCCGAACTCAACAAGAATTGTTGCCGTACAGTTCGTTTAGTTTCACTAAACATGACAAGAGATTGTTGATTACTTTAGAGTCTCTCTTGAATTATTATTAACGAATTTTTTGTTTAATTATTCTTTCTTGAAATGTGTACATGATATTTTAAAACTAGTTGAGCCGTAAATCTTAGCTAATTTTTTTCATATCCACCGTTCTTGAACAAATTCAGGAAAGTTTTCTGAATAAATTTTTTCCGTGCATATGGTATTTGAAAAATATAAGTGTTATATTGTACTGAGTTTAAAAGTCATAAGCTATGTACAAAGAAAAGTCATTGAAATTTTCAGAGATAGGTATGCAGAACAATTTTAAAAATACTTTTATACAAAAATACTGTAGATCATGCACTACTAGATTGGGGTGCCCGCCGTCGACGGGCTCGAAAGCAAATAATAAGTAGAAAAATAGATGAAAAGTTTTCTTTGCTACTAAATTTAAAATGACTTTTGAACAAATTATTATTAAATTATGGTTCAATTCATTTAATAGGTAATTTTTTTGAAATAACTTACCAAATGAATCCATTCCTTATCCCAAAAAGATCTAAAAATTTCCTTCTGAAATAATTTTAAAGCTTCAGCATAAAACTCATTTACTTGTGCTGACAATTTAGCAATTATTCCATCCTTCATATTATCATAAATTGCTTTATGCACAAAAATTTCCTGTGCTTGAGCCAGCATTAGAGCAGATAATGCACCAAGTGTTTCTGGACTCATATCTGGTGTGGGCTCTTGTTGAATAGCTAACATCACATTCCCTTTAAGATAGTTGAAAATTCCGGCTGATTGCTAAAATAAATTTACAGAAAGACATAGTTTAATATAAGGGTGATTTAACGTGTTTACCTATGGACCTTCTAAAGTCGGTTAAACATATTTTTTTACCTTCTTTATAATAAAAGTACGATATACCTATTTTTTTATTTTTGTCTAATTTTCCAATTTTTCGAGTTATGAATTTTCGAAATTTTGGATTTGCAAAAGTAGACCTATTTTCAGTACCGTAAGATGGAGTTATTTTTCTCATTCGTGAATAAATTCGCTCACCGACTTATTTGTTTTTTAGACTTAAAATAAAGTTTTATATCTTTAATAAAAAATAAAAAATTTTAATTTGCTAATAGACACATAAAAATTTATCTTAATGCTAGTTTGAAGCTAATCTAAAGAAAATAAATAAGTGAGCGAATTTACCCGAAATGAGCGAAATAATCTCGTTTTACGTTAGCTTATAAGTCTGAAAACATTTCAAATTTAATTTAACCCTTTCAGTCCCAGTGGTCGATATATCGACCACCTTTTAAGCCCCCGATTTTTTTAACATAACGTAAGGGAAAACTTTAAATAATTGCATATTTCTTATTTTTATGTTTCTAGAAATAGGGTTTAGTAGTTTTTTAACAAATTAATCTATATTATTTATGCTTTTTTGTTATTAACAAACTTATACACGGCAACGCATTATTTCAGGTTAAACGTAACTGTAATAAAATTAAATCAGTAACATATACTCTAAATTATGGTTGTTTTATAAATTCTCGGGGTTTGCTGAATATTAATCTAAAATCAGATATGCAAATTCAAAATGGTGGATCCAATATGTCAGATAAAAATTAAACAAATTTAAAATGGAAAATGGTCTCTTGGGGGTTTTTGGGGTCGCTGATTACGAATTTAAAGTCAGTTTTTAAAAATTCAAAATGTCGGATTCAATATGTCGGACAAAAATTAAATAAATGTGCTTTAAAATTGTCTCTCGGGGATTTTTGGGGTCGCTGATTACGAATCTAAAGTCAGTTTTTAAAAATTCAAAATAGTGGATGCATAAATCCATATGGCGGACATAAAAAGTTACGAATTTGGAAACTCTCTCCTCTTTTTTAAAAACGGGCTTGGGACCGGCAATGGCAGAGTTTCATCTCTTTTCTATTAATTTTTTTTTTGTTTTTTTTAAATGTTTTAAATGTTTTTTTTTAATTTTTTAATACTTTTATTAATTTTGTTTTTTTAAAAATATTTTTAAATTTGTCGTAACAAACGACAAAAGACAAGTGACGAAACATAAAAGACGAACGACAAAAAAACAAAAGAAAATTAAAAGAAAAGAGGGAAAATGGCAAACGACAAAAAAACAGTGCTTCTCTCCTATTTTTAATATTATTATTGTAATAGTCGTAACATTAGATTCGCCATTTAAAAATTTTGTAAGAATGATTTCAGATTTGTATTTACACACCCCACAAACTTCCAAGAAGCAGCATTCAGTCCTATATTGTCAATTTTTAATTTTTGACTATCATATTGTATCCATTATTTTAAAGTTAGAAAAACTGACTTTAGATTCGAAATAAGTGACTCAGAAAAAACCTAAGCGGTAATTTTCAAACAAATTTGATAGATTTTTTTATTCTTTGTCCAACATATTGGATCCGCCATTTTGAATTTTAAAAATCTGACTCCAGATTTGTAATCAGCGACCCCAAAAACCACCGAAAGACTACTTTCGTGTAAATTTGATTAATTTTTTAATCTATCGTCCGCCATATTGAATCCGCCATTCTGAATTTTGAAAAACTGACTTCAGATTCGTAATCAGCGACCCCAATAACCTCCAAGAGACAATTTTCAAACAAATTTGTTTAATTTTTAAATTTTGTTTGCCATATTGGATCCGCCATTTTGAATTTTGAAATCTGACTCCAGATTCGTAATCAGCGATCCCAAAAACCCCCGAGTGACAACTTTCAAGTAAACTTGATTAATTTTTTACTTTATCGTCCGCCATATTGACTCCGCCATTTTGAATTTTTATAATTTTGAAAATCTGATTCCAGATTCATAATCAGCGACCCCGAAAACCATAGGTAATATACCTATTGTAGATATTTTTTAATTGCCCTAATTATGGCACTGAAAGGGTTAATAAACTTTTATAACAGCTAAAATTATGCTCATTTCCCATATAATGGCCATCGCTGATTTAATCTTTGTTTATATTAAATTATCTTAACTTGTAATAAGACTTACAAATTTTATCTAACCTGAAATAATTTTGCTGCCAATTTTAGTCCTTCATCATTATCAAGGGACTGTGAGGCTGCAATGGAACTTTGTAAAGCAGCAATGTTGAACAAGACACACATTTTTTCATACGAAATTGTACTGATAGCTAAAAAAAAGCAAATAAATATTAAAAATGATAACAATTAACAATCAATATTAAGTAGAATAGTACATTGTACAACTAGTGGCGAAAGTGTGATTTTTCGAGAGTGAAGTTTGCGGCTCGAGCGTAGCGAGAGCAGCAATCACTCGAGAAAAATCATTCTTTCACCACGAGTTGTGCACTACGATTTCTCCAACGCCTTGCGAGGAAAGGTTTCTTCGTGAGTTTCGTATAATTTTAATTTAAAATGTTCTTATGTTTAATATAATAAAAGACGAATGTTTTGAGTGGGGAAGAAGTTAGATACAAAATAAATATCGGTCAAAGAACAAGAAAAAAGAATAAATTCATGATTTACTTTCGCCACGCTCTTCAGAGCAGTTGAGAAAAGTTCTACTTTCGCCACACTTTTCTACCAAGAAAAGTACTCCTTTCAGAGCAAGTGTTGGAGAAAATAACATTATACATACTTAAACTTAATTTGCCGCCAAATATGGTTCGATCGAAGGCGTCTTTCCATTTGAAAGGTATTTTGAGTTCATGTGCAGGTATTTTCCGTTCTAATGCACAGAGTTGATCATAGTAACTAAAAAGATTAATTAATTAAATTTTTTAAAGAAATAAAATAACTAATCTAAACTATAATTAAAATAACAATAATTTAATTTTAATTTAATTTTTAATTTTATTCTTAATTTTACCAAACTCCCTGATTTACAGACAAACGACTTTTTTCCTGTTCACATTTAATTACGAATTTCTTTAATTGTAAAATACTCAAAAACATCAATAACTTCGTTTTTAAATTAATATTTAATTATTATTATTTTTTACAGAAATTAAAATTTTCAAAAATTTTAAATTCAATTACATATAAGAATATTATTATTATTATAAAACAAGAAGATATCGATCACTCCGAGTCTTCGACTCGAAGTGATCGCTTTCTTCATATTTTATAATAATTAAAACTTGATGCTATCATTATTTTTATTATAAAAATATTGTTACTGTAATTTCTTCAAAATTATTTTCATTTCAATTCAATTCTTCATTTCTAGAATTTTAAACTAAAATTCTTTTTTAAAACAATTTTTTTAAAATAATTTTTGAAAAAGTTCTTTTTTGAGAATTTTTAAATCCATTTGTTTACAATTCAATTTTACTTAAACTTTCGATTATTCTGACAATCTTCAATTAAATAAATTAGAAATTAAAAACTTTAAATAATTAAAAAAAATTCCATTAAACTTTTTAAAAAAAAATTAATTCTAAATTTCCTTAAAAATCTTGCCAAGAATTTAATTATTTTTAAAGATAATAAAATTATTCTCAGGAATTCAATTATTCTCAAAAAATTTGAATAAAATTCTTTGAAATACACTACCGTCCGTGAGTATCAGGACGCCCCTTTTTTCATGAGTGGAAAAATGCTTAAAACGTAGAAAATAAGAATGACAAAAATTTTTCGTATTTTTTCCTGAAAGCTAATGAAGTTATGAAAAGACTGACACCTGATCGAAGAAGTTTCGTTGACTATTCTGTCAGATACAAAAAAAATACTGGATTTTGCATGCTTTTCGTAATTTTTTAATTTCTCGAAAACTAATTAACTTTTTTTAGCGTTCTTGGTCTCGTTTCAATCTCTATTCAATGTAGAATCTAAATTAATTAATGGTATTGTGATATAAATTTTTCCAAAAAAATTTGAAACTGTGAAAGTCGGATAAAAGAATTTTGAAAAACAGATTGACACTTTTTCAAAAAAAAAAATTTTTTTAAATTAAATAATTAAGCAATTAAAAAGCTTTTTTGAATTTTAATATATCTATTAAATTAACATATTTTACATTGACCTTTTTGACACTTTAATATTCATGATAATTTTTTGAATTTTTTTAATCCTCCTTTTACGGTTTCAAATTTTTTTGGAAAAATTTATTTCTCAATACCAGTTAATAATTTAGATTCTACATTAAATAGAGATTAAAACAAGACCAAGAGCGCTAATAAAAGTTAATTAGTTTTCGAGAAATTAAAAAATTACGAAAAGCATGCAAAATCCAGTATTTTTTTTGTATCTGACAGAATAGTCAACGAAACTTCTTCGATCAGGTGTCAGTCCTTTCATAATTTCATTAGCTTTCAGAAAAAAAATACGAAAAATTTTTGTCATTCTTATTTTCTATGTTTTAAGCATTTTTCCACTCATGAAAAAAGGGGCGTCCTGATACTCACGGACGGTAGTGTAATTCAATTATTTTTAAAATTGACAAAATTCTTCGCAAGAATTCAATTATTTTCAAAAATGATAAAATTCTTCGTAAATATTCAATTATTTTCAATATTAATTTTTACGCAATTTTGATTATTGACATTCTTCAATTAAATATATATTAAAAAATAAAAACTTCAAGAATTAAAGAAAAATTCAATTAGACTTTTTTAAAAAATAAATTCTACAGAATTGTTAATTAAAAGTATGAAAAGTTCAAATTTTTTAAAAGATTTTAATTTAAAACATTTTTAAAATTCAATAATAATCTAAAATTTTAACTGAAATTTATTTTTAAATCAATATTTACTAGAAAAATTCACGAGAATTCAATTATTTAAATACAAAAATAAATATTTTATTAAATAATTGAATGTTTCTTAAAATTGAATTTTCATAAAGAATTTTATCAACAAATTTTTAAATAATTGAATTCTCTTCACAAATTTTAATAAAATTTTTAAGAATAAGTTAATTTTTCGGAAATTTGATTAAAAATAATTGAATTTCTTCAAAGAGAAAAGAGTTTTTGAAACTTTTTTTCAAGAGTTTATGATAATAATTGAAATTTTGCCAAGAATGTTATTAAAGTTTTTGAAAATATTTGAATTTCGGAGAAAAATTTATAAAGATTATTGAAATTTTGAAGATCATTTTTGTAAATTGTTGAACACAATTCAATTTTTGCGAAGAATTATATTACATACTTTTGAAAATAATTGAATTCTTGAGACGAATTTTATTAAAATGTCTTTTTAAATAATTGAATTTCTTTGATGAATTTTAATAAAATTTTTAAGAATAATTTCATTTCTCGAGGAATTTCATTAAAATTGTATTAAAAATAATTGAAAGTCTGAGATGAGTTTTATTATTTATGAAAATAATGAAATGTTTGCGTAGAATTTAACAATTTTTTTTAAATAATTGAATTCTTTCGAAAAATTTTATTAAAGTAGTAGATTTATTAAAAATCATTGAATTGAGGAAAGTTTTTGAAAATAATTGGAATTTTGCCATGAATTTTATTAAAATTGTTGGAAATAATTGAATTTCTAAGAAGAATTTTACTAATTTGGAAAATAATTGAATTTATGCAATCATTTGTAATTGCTTCAAAATTCAATTTGTTTTAGTGTTTTTAATTAAAATTCTTCTATAAATCCATTATTTTTAATAATCAATTAAAAATATTTATTAAAAAATTTAACTAATTTCAGAAGAATTGGAATAATTAAAATTTCTCAAAAATCTACGTTCTTTAAGACGATTTCTAATTAAATTCATTCAAAATTGAAATTTTACAAAATTTCAAATTAAAATCTTTTGAAATTCATCTATACTTATGAAAATTGTAAAAGCAACTCTTTTATAATTCAATTAATTTTGAAATATTTATGTCAGATTAGATTTCTAGAATGAACTTTAGAAAATAACAATTTTTCAGGATTGCGATCAAAATTCCCTGACTTCCAGGTTTTATCAAGGTTTACAAAATTCCCCTGACATTTCCAGGTTTCGTGGCGCAACCCTGTCATTTATTTGTTATTTTCATTAAAACAAAAAAAGTAAAAATTCAAAAAAGCGCTTTCTTGAGTTTCTTAAAAATTTACTTTTGAGTGTTTCTAAAAAAAATTCACATTTTGTCAAAATTTGTGATCTGTAGACTTTTTTGAACAGTTAATTGCAGATTCCAACGACAGTGGGACGTCTTCAAATATTCTTGAAAAATGTACTAATTAAAACTTTTAGTGATTCGAATTTTGAAAAACTGAGTTTGGTAAAGTAGAATCAATATTGAAACAAACTTGTAAAATATAATTTTCATTTGAGATAAGTGGGTGTTATATAATATAGAATCTGTACTTAACAGAAACTTTTGTCGTTGAATCCATCGTTTTATGTTATTTTTATTTTTTTTGAAAGTAGCTAAACACAATATTCTTGATAATTTCCGATTATGTTACAAATTTAGACTAAAATAATTCTGACAGTGTTTACTCCAAGTAATAAAATTTTATTAAATAAGAATTTCATGAAATGTCAATTTATGCAAATGATGGGTGAAAATTAATTTAAAAAACAGTTGTGTTCTAAATGCAACAATTGTTTTGTAAAATGAATTTATAAGCTTGAATATCGAAGATGTTAGATTTTTCTCAATTTTCTCGAAAAAAGAGATGTGTAAAATAATTTTATACTTCTTTACATTACATGATTCACGTATTCGGTTATTGCATTACGTTTTACGACGTAGTTAATAATTAAAGCTTAAACGGAGTAGCAATTTAAAGTAAACGTCATTCTTCCAGAATAACATCTTTTTAAGAAAATATTTCATTATTAAAAATACCTCCAGGTATCATTTTTAGAAAACAAAACAATCTCTTTCAAACCTCAATTATTATAACAATATAAAGAAATAAGACTTATGAAAACAGAATAAATATTTCCCTGACATAATTGGTCCACTTATTTATCGATTTAATCATTCTTTTTGAAAGCTAAAATTTACTTTTTCTACCATTTTTATAAACATATTTAACATAAGAATATCTTACCTGTAAACACATTCTAATGAACTTTCGTGTTTCTCAAAGGCTCCCCACAGTGCATTATTTCTCATCTTGCTAAATTCATTAATAGCCTCTGAGAAATTCTTTCCATTTTGGTCGAAATTATAAGTGGATTTGATAACATTAGTTACTGGTTTTATTACATCCACATCGGACGGTTTTTTGAGGGGTATAGAAATTAATTCTATCATTTTTCACAAGCAAAAAACTATTACTTCAAACAAATCGAATGGCTAAATAAATTACGTTTGAATTTTCTCAATATTGAGTAATGACTGTCACAAAGATAAACAAACGATTATCAAAAGATAAAAACACCTTTTAATAAATGAATTGTAAATGTATGGTCATAATTCCATTGGAAATGGAAAAAAACACGTTGCTATGTTACCAACAAAAATATTACTGAATTACTGACAGGAAAAGGGTTGCTGGATTTCTGACTCATGGAAATGTGACTAGAGGTCAGATTATATACCAGGGTTGGGTAGCGACGAGTCATTACTAAAGGTGAATCCACAATACCTACAGGCAGAGGTGGGTATGTAGCTGTGACGTCATCACGTCACGCCTAGTGTCGACTTTGGTAATTTAGTAAATTTAAAGAAATACAAAAGTCACTATAATTCACTAGCATAGGTAATTGAAACATTTTACATTTTAAATTAACATGATGAGTGTTCTTTATGTATTTTTTTAAGGCCTAAGGGTGCGATCCCATGTGAGCAGAATACGTCGACCGAAAGCAGAAAATCATGAGTTCAAAAGAGGTAGGTAGATATTGTTGTTCTTTTCACTCTTATGATTTTCTGCTTTCGGTCGACGTATTCTGCTCACATGGGATCGCACCCTAAAGGTGCTTCTATACCTCCGGTGGATTGGTCAAGCAATCGGCTCGATGAATTTTCACGGTCGGAAAATGTACTTTCATGGCGGGTATTTTTGAATAAGTAAATGTTGAAAAGGTTTTTCTTGAAAATTTATTTAAAAAAATGATTTTATCATAGAAATTCTTTTGAAATTTATGTTAAAAAACATGTTTTATTTCAAAAGTTATCAAATTTTAATTCATAATGTTTTAATTTTCCAAAGAAGAGTAAAAAGCCTAATGTTTTTGAAATGCTAGTACAGACGGTACAGACTGTTTGTTATGAATGTACATAACCTAGCGTTGTGTTGTCGTGCTTGTGATATTATATTCTAAATTTAATGATTTAATTATTATTATATTAAATAATAATGAACAGACAACACAACGCTAGGTTATGTACATTCATAACAAACAGTCTGTACCGTCTGTACTAGCATTTCAAAAACATTAGGCTTTTTACACTTCTTTGGAAAATTAAAACATTTTGAATTAAAATTTGATAACTTTTAAAATAAAACATGTTTTTTAACATAAATTTCAAAAGAATTTCTATGATAAAATTATTTTTTTAAATAAATTTTCAAGTAAAAACCTTTTCAACATTTACTTATTCAAAAATACCCGCCATGAAAGTACATTTTCCGACCGTGAAAATTCATCAAGCCGATTGCTTGACCAATCCACCGGAGGTATAGAAGCACCTTAAGCACAATAGGTTTGCGAAAGTCGTTCGCGAACGCAAAGCATGAGTTAGAAAAGGACAGAGATATATTTGTGTCCTTGTCTATCTTATGCGTCTCGTTCGCGAACGACTTTCGCGAACCTATTGTGCGTTGGACTTTATGCTGAATCCGATTTTCATGGTTAAATAATTGTTTAAACAACCCTGTAATTGTTATAAACAATTTACTTTGCAAAAGTCAAACTATGGAATTTTCAAAATTAATTTAAGTAGGAACTGGATAAATATTAGAAATTCTTGAAATTTTGAGGTTTGTTTTCTTTTGATATAATAATTAAGTACCCAAAATTTAAGAATTTTTCAGTGCATAGTTTAAAAGTTATAAAATTATAAATTTAACACGGCCTCTTATAGAGAAACCAACAAATTGAATCTTCACAAACGAAAAAATACTTTTTAAAAATCTCAACTATTTTTAATATAAATATATATAAAAGCTAAAAATGACAGTTTTAATAATTTTTTTCGGATCTTACGGAAATCGTAACGTTACGTCGAACCTAGCACGTAACATTATGGACGGTCACAGCTCTGCTTACAAGGCTCATGTATGCAGGTTGCCCTAACGTAAGCCCTGAGCAAAATAAAACGGGAACGGAACGCAAGCATGAGATAGAAAAAGACAAAAGTTGGTTTGTCCTTTTCTATCGCATACTTAATTGCTACGTTCACGTACAAAACGTTTTGCGTTTTGTAACAAGGCCATGAGTATGAAAGAGATAGATGGAGATATATGTTCAACGTGAGAGAGATAAGGCCTAAGCACAATAGGTTCGCGAACTCAAAGCATGAGTTAGAAAAGGACAGAGATATATTTGTGTCCTTGTCTATCTCATGTGTCTCGTTCGCGAACGACTTTCGCGAACCTATTGTGCGATGGACTATAGGTAATCGATATTACTTAAAACGAAATTCCCTATGCTAGCGAATTACCTATAGGGGATTTTGTATTTCTTTAAATTTACTAAATTACCAAAAACGACACTAGGCGTGACGTCACACTGAGACGGCGTTCCTTCAGAGGTATAAACGCACCCTAAGGCCGCAGTCCCATGGCAGCGTTTTGCTTTGCGTTGTAATAAGAGAGAATACAGCAAACGTATATTTGCGTCTTTTTCTCTCCCATTACGACGTAACGCAAAACGCTGTCATGGGACTCCACCCTAAGGCTTGACAATATAAAATTCACATTGATTCTCCAAACTGTGTGTTATCAACTCTACGGTTGATATTGCCTGTCAGTTCAGCCTAGTGTGAAATTCATAAAATTTGTATGTTATATTGTTTTATTACACGAAGAATACAAAATGTCAATATGTGAATTATGAAATAACTTTAAATTTTTGTGACTAGTATGAAAATCAATGCGGTTTTTCACAACTGACTTGTGTCACTTTAATCTAAAAATGGAATTAATTTGTAAGAATCCGCCCAAGTAATTTGCTGGAATGGCGTCAGGATGTTATTAAAGAAAATGTCAAATCTAAATAATCATTGCCATTTTCTCTTATTTACACAGAAATATGAGTGATTTAAGACAATCTACATGGTGTTAAAATGCATGTAACTGTGAATTTTATACTACAAAATGTACACAAGCAATATGACTGCCGATTAAGTGTGAGTAGTATTTATTTTTTCTTATTCCTTCAACTTTTCAAACTATAACTTTCGTAAAGAGTAATTAAATGTTGTTAGAATTTTTTTAATTTTCTTTAATTTGCCTGTGGTTTGTATTTTACTTTAATTCTCCATCGTATTTTTTATTATTGCTGTTTAGATATCCTTATACTCGGATAATACGATTTTTTTTTCAAATATTGCATTGTTGCAAAAAAGTGATACTTTTTGCAACTAATTTTAATAAAATTTCACTTTTTTTACATATTTTAAAAATTTACTTTCTAGTTAGACTTTTTTTCACTTTTTTATGAATTTCGAGAATAAGTGAGTTACCTCAGATAAGAAACACCAAGGAACTTTATCTAAAGTAGTTGAAATTTCTAGAAATGTTACACAAATTTTAGTTTTTGGTGAACTTTAAAAATATTGAAACCTTTAAATTGTCATTCGATTTTCTTTTTTTACTTTAATAACAAAAAAAAGAAAAATAGAGTTGCAGTTTTTTTAAAGAACTTCTTAACTTAACTTCTTATTTTTGTTACAAAATTAATAATTTTAAACAAGATGGATAATGTTTATTACATAAACATGTAATAATGTTTATTACATAAACATGTAATAATGTTTATTACATAAACATTATGCTTTTTCTTTACGATCAGCAAAAAATTTGCATTATCATTTTATCATTCTTTGGACAATTTTTTTCAAATCGATGCAGTATATTTAGTAAATTAAAATTTAAAAAAAGATTTTTAGTTAAATAAGTAATTTAAATTAATTAGGTTTAATTCTTAAGTAATTTCTATAATACAGAAAAGTTCCTTTTCTCCTTTTTTCCCTTTTTTTGGTGATTTGTTTCCATTTTCACGGTTTTTTAATAAATTAAAAAATAAAGTTTTTCTTTTTTTAAAAATATATTTCAGTGTAATCATAAAATTTAGACTCAATATTAGAATTCAGTGCGTTTAATTTTTGATTTAGATTATTGACACCACAACACAATATAAATTAATTTTTTTCTGTTTGTGACTTAAATAATACACTCGGATTGCAAAGTATCAGTACATTTGGATTGTTTACTTTTAAATGCTCGTTTCACTTTACATTCAAATATTTCTGTAAAAATTGACGTAAAAGCTATAAAACTAGGACCATTTTGAAGTTTAATAAATTTAGAGTTAGAATTTAATAATGTAAATATGAAAATATAGAAACCATAGTTGATTGATAAAACAAATGATTTATATTTATATTCATTGAAAACTTTAGAGCAAGAAAAGTTATTTTTATACATTTTAAAGAAAATACTGAATATTTGTGAATGATTTTGGTCTAAAATTAAAGAGTAGAATTTGTACTTCATGTTGTAAAACTGTCGAATCGCAAAAAAGAATTTTCTTCAATTGGCGTTAGTTTGATCTAAAAATTTTGAAATCACTATTTTCAAAAAAAATCTCCATCTCTAAAGAAAAATATTTTCATATAATACATTAATAAATTGGTTATATCTTGGCCTATTTGACTCTAAATATATTAAATTTCAAAATAATCTTAGTCAATTTTTACAGAAATATTTGAAGTTAAAGTAAAACGAGCATTTAAAAGTAAACTGTCCAAATGTGCTGAAACTTTGCGACCCGAGTGTATAATAACGTAAAATTTTTTATAAATATTAAAGGTTCATCCAACAGAATTCTGATTTTTGAACAAGCACGCCGTTTTGAAATTATGCTTATTTATTTAAAAGAAAATTTGTACTTTTTTTAAACAAATAAGCATATTTTCAAAATCATTTTCTGGAAATAATAAACCTTATTACATTAAAATCGAATTATTTATTAAAAACCTGTATTGAAGCGATATGTTAAAAAATTTGAATTATATGTGCAAATTGTATAAACAAATAAATTTCACATAAACATTGTCTATGTGATGTAAATATTAAAAAACTTTCTTAATACTAAAGTTATTTTCTACCAAAGAATCCAAAACTGTAAGAAATTTGAGTATTAATACATTGTTCATATAAATTTTAGTACATTTTAATTTATTTTTGTTCCCTTTTTCAAGAAAAAAATTCACCTTTTCACCTTTTTTTTTGAGGAAGAAAGGTACTGTGATACCTGGATTCGGTATAATTTTCAAAATTTTCCGTTTTTACGTATTTTTTTCTGTTAACTGACAAAGAATTAAATAATAATAATTAGTGCCCACTATCGTCCTGTAATCAGGCAATGTTTAAAAAAATTTCTTTTTAAAGATTTTATTTGTTAAAAACCTCGCGAGCACAAAATAGCCCCCCGGTTGATGGTAATTTACTTTATTAATTCAGGTTCTGGTTGACACGAAACTAAATTAAAAGTAAATTTTTAATTTAGTTTTGTTTAAACATCGGTTCCTGATTATAAACATGTTTATTTACTTGTTCGAAGTGTACCCTTGACACAAAATTGGAAAAAACTCATGTTTTCAATCTGTTAAATTGCAAACAATGTATTATAGTTTGTTATTGCAAAAATTCCTTTTGGATATTGTTACATATATGATATACATTACAAAAAGAATTAAAAAATTAAAAAAACATATTTTTAGTTCATTTGCTAGACAACAAACCAGGGATGGCAACCGAAACTAATACCCGAAAAAACAGAAATTTTCAAAAAACCGTAAACCAGAAACCGAAACCGAAAAAAAATTATCTGAAACAGAAACCCGTATTAGAAAAATTTAAACCCTTTATTTCAAAATCTAAATTTCGTTCTTTCGGTTTTTAATATAAAACGTTTTTTCAAAAAAATTTTAATTTTTCCTTGACAACGCTATGACCATCTCACTTACGCAGCAATCTTTCTTCAGCTATGTTGGAAAATATTTTACTTATTCGGCAAAACAAATTGTTTGCTGCAAAGGATTAATATTAAATTTCATTAAATAATTATTTTTGTTTTAAAAATTCTACATTTTTTTCGACTATTAAGAGTTTCCCACGTGAAACAATTCTACGGAAATTCCCAAAAAAAAACCGAAATTTTTAAGAAACCGAAAACAAGAAATCGTAACCGTAATTACTCGCATTAAAAACCAAAACCCAAATACAGGAACTCGAATTTTTTTTAGAAGAATACAGAAAAGTGGAAACCGAAACCGATAAAATTTCGGTTGCCATCCCTGCAACAAACTAAACAAAACTGTATTTTTTGGGTAATTTATCCCCATGAAAAGTAACAAGGGGGAAAAATGTAAAATTTTAGAGGTTTGTTACATACTTTTTCGGATAAAGAATCGAATGGATTTTAGTTTTTTAAAATCGATTCCATAGATTTCGAGAAAAGTATTTCCCCAGTTTCCAAAAATGTGTTTTTTAGAAAAACGCGTTTAAAGTTTTCGTAACATACTAAAAACAATGTGTTGAGATGCGGCCGTAAAAATTGCTATAATTTTTTTGTTTTGTGTATTAAAAAATGTTTTATGACCGTTATTTTATGACACTAAAGATCATTTTTAAACAAAAAAATGAATTTTTTTAAATCCTTGACCAAAAAGTCTCCTTAAACTTTTTCAAAGCACCTTTACAAATTTATTAAAACTTGGTAGTATTATATTTATTAGTCCTATAAAATTCCAGAAATTTATCTTTGCCAAAATAAAGGTATTTATCCAGCGAAGCGACTTTTCTTAAATTTACAAACTTTGTATTTTCTTTTTTTTATAGCTTTCATTTAGGTAAAAAATGAAAAATCCAGTAGGTGAGAAAGAAAAAATTGAGTGCTTGAATACGACAGAAGAATGTACTCTCGGCATCACGTTCTAAAGCCTAAGTTGTTAAAATTGTGAAAAAATTGGAAATTGAAATTTTGATTCTTGAAAAATTTTACCTTATAGGAAATGAAAAGATGCATCTTCTTTCCTTCAACCAACATTTTTTTGTTAAACGAATATTTTAGAAAACATTGACCAAAAATTGAAAAATTTTAATTGTCAAAATTCATTCAATTTTTAAACACAAATCGTTGTATCTTCTGCAAATATTAAGATAATTATGTTTCTTTATATTTGCCGTCAAAAAGTTTGCGGTGAAGTTTAAAATTGAGCAAACACATAAGCGAACGTTCCCTGCGCCACAGTGGGGCCAAATGTACTTTTTGTGTCAAAATCAGTCTAGAGGTCACAATTTTCATTCAAATTAAACAATTTTTTTTAAAAAATCTTCGCTACTAAATTCTCTTTCAATTACTCCAGGCCGATTTTTTAATTTTTGTTTATTTATATTATTTGTTTATAACAAAGTATGAAAAAATCGATATGTTGCTATAAAATTTAATAAAGTTTAACATTTAAACATTTTTAAAAATTTTTTCTATTTAATGTATGTAACATGCAATTTTAAATTCTTTTTTATTTCGAGCTTTAACTGAGAAAAAATATAAAAACTGAAAAATATGAAAAAAATTTTTTTAAGTCACTCAAATTTTTTAAAATAACAAAAATAATTTGTTTAAACAATTTTGAAATTAGATATAAGGAAGTTATTTTCATAGTTACATATTCTTACAATTTCTTAATATAAATGTTTCAGAAATCAAGATAAAATGTAAATTAGTATCTTGATTCTATTAAAAGTTAAAAATATTAATAATTTGTTTAAATAATTATAAAAATTATCATTTGCAAGCCACACTTTTGAGTTTAGTTCATTTAAATAGAAAAATTTTCAGGAATAAAAAAAATCGAAATTTTAATTTTTTAAAAATAAAATTTAACAAAAAACATAATTTATTTGTTTAAACAATTGTTAAATACTTACACAATACCTTTTATTTTTGTATTTAATTATTTCCTGCGTAAAATGTTGAGAAATGTAAAAAAAAAAATTTTTCTTGGTTAATGTTGAAAAAAATTTACAATTAACAATAAAAAATTGTTTAAACATTTTAAAAATTTATTAAATTAATACTCAATGTTTTTATGTTAATTACCCATTAAATTTTGGGTAAAAAACTCGAAGAAATATACTACCTACAAATTGAATTTTTTCAATCATGTTCTTTTTTCCAAAAGTTAATTAATTAGCGTATTGTTTATTTAATAAAAGTGTAACTATATCAAAAATTTTACTTCAGGAATACTAAAACATGATTTCTATTGTACTTAAAAAATTTTTAAATGTTAAAAACTTTATTTTATAGCAACATATCTTAACATATATCATACTTTGTTATAAATAAACAAAAATTAAAAAATCGGCCTGGAGGAATCGATAGAGAATTTAGTAACGAAGATTTTTAAAAAAAATTGTTTAATTTGAATGAAAATTGTGACCTCTAGACTGATTTTGACACAAAAAGTACATTTGGCCCCACTGTGCTGCGCCGGCCTGTTTCTTAAAACTAAAATATTTTAATAAATAATTGAAGAATCTTTCTGGAACTTTACAAAAAACTAATTAAAGGAAATAAAAAAAAACTTTACAAAAAACTTCCTTAAATATAGTAATAAACAAATGTCTCAAGATGGTGGACGCCAATATGGCGGGTAATTTTCAAAAAATTGTCCTCAAGTTCAACGCAACGTGGTGCCAAATTTTATGAAAAAGGCTGAAATTGGCTTAGAATCATTACCTGAAGGTTTTCGAGGTCGTTGATTACGAATTTGGTGTTAGTTTTTGGAAATTTAAAATGGCGGATCCAATATGTCGGAAATTTTTTCAAAAATCTTCGAATGAACTTTCAACTTGTTACTCGGGGGTTTTTGGGGTCGCTGATTACGAATTTGATGTTATATTTATTTAACCTTATTTATATGTAATGATATAATATAAAAATAATTGAAGAATCATAAAATTTTAGCACAGTTTTATTGGATCCAATATAAATTATTTTAAATAAAATATTGCAATTTCAAAAATTTGGCATTATATTCGTAATCAGAGTCCCCGACAACCCCCGGCTAACGATTTTAAGCCGATTTTAGAAATTTAAAAAAATTGTAGCACCTCGTTGTACTTGTGGAGACCATTTTTAGAAAATTACATGGCCGCGATATTTTAATCTTTTGAGAGAATCCCTGACTTTTTTCTAGAGGAAATAAAATGAAAGAGAAATTTTTTCTCGAAAAATCGTGTTTTTCTAAAAAAAATTGTTTATAACTTTTTTGTGTTTGTTATAAACAAATTTAACCACAGTATGTGAAAAAGCGATGAATTTTACCACAGAAATGTTATATGCAAATTTTTTCCTAAGTAATTTTCATAAAAAAGAGAATGATCAATGTCTTACGTACCCTTATTACACGCAAGCCTTCAATTGTTAAAATTTTTTTAAAATGTAGAAGTATAAATACCGTTACAAAAGAATTACTTAATTTTAAGTTGCATAAATGATGATGTTTCCATAGATATATTTATGCCTTTTACTTTACTGAATATACTTTATTTTCCATAAAATAGGTTTCACAAATGGAATAGATGATGTTTCTATCTTGTCCTGCCACTAGAGTTTAAAAAGGAAAATGAAAACTGGAAAAAAAAGAATCAGACACACGAAGTTGAAAATGTTCAAGTAACAATAATGAAGAAGGTAATCTATTTTATTTTTTACTCCATAATTTGATGTCAACAATAATTTTTTACAGCTGCCGGCTTTCAAATTTTTGACAACGCGAATTTTTGAGAAATTTATTATTAATATACTAAAAACGAATGTTTCTTGAAAAATTAAGGCAAAATCGAATAAAAATATGTAATTTAGACGGTTGGAAGTTGTCAGTAAAGATGTTAAACTTTTAAAAAGTGACTTGTGAGAAATTTTACATTAATTTGTTTTTAAAAAATATTGTTTTTTGAAAAATTAATTGACGGAAAGAAAAAAAGAGATTAATTTTCAATGAATGCGGTTAGAAGTTTTCGATTTATAAGCAACAGTGTTCATATGGTAATGTTTATAAACAAGTGACACATAACATTTGATATTTTGAATTTATTTAAATTTATACCTAACCATAATTTTTTTTTATAAATAATACAAAATTGTATGGTTAAAAATTTAAATAAATTCAAAATAATTTATTATTTTTGATAAATCATTTTAGTTCAAAATATAAATATAAATTCAAATCATCACACGTCACGTGTTCCAACATTACCGTGAACACTTTTGCTTGTGTATCGAAAACGTTAATTTTCATTAATCGAAATTTAATCATTTTTATTGTAAAACAACAACTTTATAAATTAAATAACTTTTAAACCGTACAAGATGACATTTTGTCCTTTGGCACATATAATCTACATACAAAATTAAATATTTAATGAATATTATTTAATTCAAACCTTTTTGAAATTCATCAACTTATAAAAAATTGTTATAAAACATGAAGAAAAAAAAAAAATTAAATAAAAATTAAAAAAAAAAAATTAAAATTTATTCTGTTAAAAAAATAAATAAAAAAATAAAATAAAATAAAATAAATAAATAAATATTATTTTTTGAAAATAATAAAAAAGTAAATTTTTAAATAAATAATCAAACGGATTATTCGATTCATTTAAGTATTTTTTTTTAGTTACAAAATTAATTATTACGATTAAAAATTATTTTTGAGTCTCATCGCAAATATAAAAAAAAACTATGTTCTATCGTCATTTATTCGTTCAAATGTAGTATTTTTACTTATATTGACAAAAATGTTAAAAAAACAAAAGAAATAATTATTTTTGTGTCTCATTGCAAATAAAAAAAACTACAAATAAAGTAATTTTCATAAAAATATTTTGTTACATTCTACACTCAATTCTAATAAACCCCATTAACAATTTATCATTTTTTTACAATTTTTACAATTGAATTGCGAATTTCGAAAAGGGCTCAACTCGGATTTTTTTCAAATTTCACTTTTTTCTATTTTTTGCATTATTATATATTCATTGACGTTTTCTTGAAAGGAAAATTTCATCTGAGGTACTTTAACGGAGAAAAATGTATTAAACTGTGTTTTCCTTTGACTTTTAACCTAAGATTGTTTGTTTTCTAACCTATTGCTGAATTGTTTTTGAGCTCAAAAAAAAGTTATTACATTTTGAAATTAAATAAAAAAGTAATTGATTTGATTTTCGATAGTAAAATATTTAATTAATATATTTTTATGATTAAAACGATTGAATTATTTTCATGAATTTCGAAAAGGGCTCAACTCTGACAACTATATTATCAATTTTCTTCAACCCACTTTAATTTAAGACTATTATTTTATCATTTTCTCATACAAAATAGCATCTAATTACTATGAAAAAAAAACTGGACTCTTTTAATTAAAGCTGTTTGAAATAAAACGTTTTTTGTCTCTCCTGTAAAATTTAAAAAAACCGAGTTGAGCCCTTTTCGAAATTCGCAATTCAATTTCATGCCTCTTTTTTGTCGTTTTTTCTAAAATTTCATGCGACTTTTTTGCGACTTTTTCGGAAATTTCATGCGATTTTTGTTGTGAATTTATGCAACTAAAGCGACTTTTTTTGGGTCTTAAAGTCGATCCGAGCCCTGAAACTCAGAACTTTGAAATTTTTACCATTGAGAAGACTACTGTACAATAGATCATAAAACTTTGTTGGTCGCTTGAAATGTAAAACGTGACCGGATTCATATCAAATCAAGTAGGCAGTCCGATGACATATTGCGAATTATTTTCACAATAAGATATGTTATTCTACTCGAAAAATAAAGAAATACGTATTTTTTAAATTTTTGGTATGATTTTTTTGTACTTTTACGAATATTTTATGATTTTAGCAAAAAAAAAATTACTTTTTTACATTTTCTTCTAGAGAATCGCGTAACTTGCGTAATTTTTAACCATTTTGAAAAATCTTGTCAAAATTGAAGAATGTAGATAATTAACTATAGTTAAAAGATTATAATCTTTTAGAAATATATTATTACCTATTCATGCTTGATTTAATCGATTAATTAAAAGAAAATTTCAACTATGAGTAGAAATTTTATTCTTTATTAGAGATATTGCCTTTGGAATAAATAAATATATAATAAAATAATTCTTATGAACTAAAAAAATTTGTAATGTTATTAAAAAAGAAAATTTTATTAACGAACCTAAAAAAATAACATAAAAATTGCATCTATGAATTCCTATTTATCAAAAAAATTAGTAGAATTTTTTCTTTTTTCCTTTTTTAAAACATTGTTTTTTGTTTTGTGTAATTTTTCATAAAAGAGTATAAAAGAAGAAAACAAATAAGCCCAAGAGTAACAGAAAAGGTTGAAAATTACGCAAATTACGCAATTTTATAAAAGAAAATGCAAAACGTCATTTTTTGATAAAATTTTAAATTATTCGTAAAAAGTGCAAACAAAATTCTATCAGAAATTCTATCAGAAATTAAAAGAATTCGTATTTCTTTATTTTTCGAGTAGAATAACACATCTCATTGTGAAAATAATTCGCAGTATGTATATCATCGGACTGCCTGAATGTTTTGAAATGGGATCCGGTCACGTACTGTTTATTAAAAAGTTTTAATCAAAAAAGTGATTCTGATGAACTCAAACTAATAATGTAATTCACAAGAAGCTGAACTCATAAGTAAATTTAAAAATTAATAAATTTAAATTAAATTGTAAAAAATGTAATTTTATCTATTGCTGGAATGTTTTTTTATAGTGAATAATTGTTATATTTATTATTCAGCAGACTGAAATGGTATATTTATGAGTATTAATCAAATTTCTTTTACAAAATTTCACCCGAAAGTACGAAATTGTTAAAAGTGTTCAGATTCGCTTGAAAGTTGTTACTCAGATTAAAAAAATTTTTTTATCTCATTGCCATATAAAAATCTCTACGGAAGAAAAATTTTTTGTTTTTAATTCTTATTAAGTTTTTGGTATTTGGAAATTTAAAAAAAAATTTATAGCTAAAGCTGTGTTATTAGGCCAGAAATTTTTTAAATTTTTGACTGGAATTTTATAAGTATTCACCTGGAAACCATGGAAAAAGCCTGGAATTTTATATTTATCATTTTGTGGAAACCATGAATTATTTTTCTTATATTTTGTAGTAGAAAAAATTGAAAATTAAACAAAAATTTAAAGCGATATTGGTCAATTCGTTTTTGAGATATCATGGTCGTCAGTTTGAAGAAATTAGTTTTGAGAAAAACGCTTTTCAAAGTTAAAGTATTTCACTGTACGCTCTACAGTGCACACAAATGCTTTATCTTATCAGTGCCATAACTTTCTTAGGACGTCAAATATTAAAAATTTTATCTCGCAGTTCAATAAATTTTCGATTTTAATTAATTGTCTAGTATAGAAACGAAAATTTTTGACACTTTCTACCTCTTAAAACTACATCTAGAAGCTACAAAATTGTACAAGAATATTTATATGACATTTTAAAATTGTCAATAATTATTTGCGCTTCCTCAAAAACAACTCCTAACTCATATATTCATAGTGGAAAGCAACACCAAAATATATTATTTTACTCTTATTTGGTGTTAACTAAATCTACAACGCTTTTTAATACTTCACAATTTACTGTGTTACTTCCACCACACAAAATTTACTTTCACCACTCTCTTCCAAGGAGTTGAAAAAAGTTCTACTTTCGTCCCGCTTTTCTAAACATACAAGTACTCCTTTCAGAGCAGGCGTCGAAAAAAATTCTTTTTTATCCCACATGCTTTCGGGTAAATGTCAGGAAACAAAATTTTTTTCAGGGAAATTTAGAAAATTGAGATTTTTTCCACACATTTTAAAAAATTGCGACTTTCTCGATAAGAAATTTTAATGGAAAATCTTTAAACGTAAATTTAAAAATGAAAATTAATGAAAATTAGCTTCTAATTTTTTAAAATTTAGTATTTTCAGTACTTTCAATTACATATTTCCGAATTCAAATACATACAAAAAATAATATTTTAGAATTCATTTGTTTTCGAAAAATTACAATGATTTTCAATATCTACTATTTTAATAAAATTTTCCAAAACAATTCAATTATTTGAAAAAATTTTAATAAAATTCTACAAAAACATTTAATTATTTTCATAAAATAATAAAAATTCCCAGGAATTCAATTATTTACAAATTTTTTATAAATTTCTTCACAATAATTCAATTCTTTTCATAAATAGTAAAATTTTTACAGGGTTTCAATTATTTTCATAAATAATAAAACTCATTGCAGAATTTCAATTATTTTTAATAAAATTTTAATCGAATGCCTCGAAAAATGTAATTATTCTTAAAAATTTTATTAAAAATCATAGAAAGAATTCACTTATTTAAAAATTTTGTTGATAAAATTCTTTATTAGAATTGAATTTTAAGAAACATTGAATTATTCAATAAATTATTTATTTTTGTATTTAAATAATTGAATTCTAGTAGAATTTTCTAATAAAAATTGATTTAAAAGTAAATTTCAGTTAAAAACAAATGAATTTGAAAATTCTCAAAAAACCTTTTTCAAAAATGATTAAAAATAATGGATTTTTAGAAAAATTTTAATTAAAAATACTAAAAAAGTTTCATTTTGGAGAAGTGACAAATTATTGCAGAAATTCAATTATTTTCAAAAGTAATAAAATTCTTCGCAAAAATTCAATTAGGTTCAAAAATTAAAAAAAAATTCTAGTAAAAATTTAAATTATCGTTAAAAATAATAAAAACAATTTTAATCAAATTTCTCGAAAAATATAATTATTCTTAAAAATTTTATTAATAATCGTAGAAAAAATTCACTTATTTAAAAATTTTGTTGATAAAATTCTTTATTATAATTGGATTTTAAGAAACATTGAATTATTATTGAATAAATTATTTATGTTTGTATAATTGAATTCTAGTAGAATTTTCAATTAAAAATTGATTTATAAATTAATTTCAGTTAAAATTTTAGATAATAATAATTGAATATTAAAAGCAATATAGCGTGAATTTTTTTTAAATTAATTTTTTTGAAAAAGTTTAATTGAATTTTTCTAATATTATTTGAAGTTTTTATTTTCTAACATATATTTAATTGAAGAATTTACGAATAATTGAAATTTGTAAAATTGAATATTGTAAACAAATGGATTTGAAAATTGTCAGAGAACTTTTTCGAAAATTAATTGATTTAAAGAAGAGTTTTAGTTATACAAATTCTTGAAAAATAATAATTGAATTGAAATGATGAAAATAATTATAAAGAAGTTCAATATTCTTATAATATAAAATAATGTTTTTATTAATTTGCTCTCTTTCACTGGTTCGAGTCCTGCAACTTGAAATTTTTACAATTCAAATACAGAAAATTGAATATTCAGAACGAGCTTTTATATAATTTCCTGACAATTACTGATTTTCCATGACTCAAAAAAATTCCATGATAATTTCATGTTTTCCAGGTTTGTGGCAGTCCTGAATTCTTGATCAACATCTTTTCATATATGTGTAGTTAGAAGAAGAAAAACTTTAAAGATTTTGCAGTAGTTTTCATTAACCTTAACAACTGCGCAGAAGTTTTTAGCATTTATAAGTGAAGAGCCTTAATATTATAAGTTATTGACAAATTAAAAAATATTTTATAAACTAACTTGTACAATTACCTGTACCAGTTTATTTACTTGTGCAAGATCTTGTACGAGTTTAGACAAAGAACTTGTTTAAAATTCTTATACGGAAAATTGGCATTTTGCAGAATTTTTTGTACAGGATTATGTACAGATATTTTTCTTAGAGTATATTTAATTTAATAGTAAAATTATAAATGTTGTTGAAATACATATTTTAATAATGTTTTCATCTTTTTTATTTTCAGATATATTCATACTGTAGATCTAAGTTACTTTTCACCTTCTTCCTGGTTGCTCTCTTTGTGCGAGGAGAAGCGAAGGCGACATTCTGCCCGAACCTATGCACATGTGATGATGAAACTTTAGAAGTTTCTTGCATTGGTGCAAATTTAGATGTCATTCCAATTGCATTAAATCCAAGTATTCAACGCATAGTTTTGAAAGATAATAAAATAAAGGCAGTTGAAGCTGCAGCATTTCAATTTTACGGTGATCTGAAAGCTGTCGATCTATCGAACAATCACCTTTTTTCCATTCCAAACGGAAGTTTCGAAGCACAAAAGCAACTTATAGAACTGCATCTAAAGCACAACAAACTCTCTTCCATAAATGAGAATACATTCTTAGGTCTAAAGTCGTTGACTATTTTGAACTTGCGAGACAATTACCTTGAAATATTAAAAAATGGATTTTTTAATTCTCTTTCAAAACTTCAAGAAATCGATCTGGGCCAAAATAGAATATCCCACGTTGAGTCGAACGCATTTCAGAAGTTAGTGATGCTTCGAGTGCTCTATTTAGACGATAATCAACTCCGAGTTATTCCTTCAAATGCCCTAAGACCCCTCAATGCTCTTGCCGAGCTTCATATTGGCCTAAATGCTTTCACTTCCCTAATCAATGATGGATTTGAGGGTCTTGATCGTCTAACTGTCTTGGATGTATCTGGAGCTGGATTAGATAACATTACTGAAAAAGCATTTAAAGGCCTTAGTGCTCTACGAGTGCTGAAACTTAATGGTAATAAACTCAAGGAAATTCCCACGAAACAATTAAGTCTGCTGCTTCGTTTAGAGGAATTAATATTGGGTCAAAATCTGTTTACTGACGTGAAGACTGCCGCTTTTCAAGGTTTATTTAATTTGAAGAAACTTGATATTTCTGGAGCAAAAATGCTGACTACTATTCAAGCGGGAGCATTTTCTGACAATTCAAATCTTGAAACGCTAATTTTAAATAGCAACAAACTTCTTAGTGAGATGGAAGACGGAGCTCTAGCTGGTTTACCTAATCTAAGACATTTACTCTTAAGGGATAATGCTTTTACTGGATTTTCTGAATCATTGGTGTCATGGAATGAACTCCGACGTTTAGATATTGCTGAAAATATGTTGGTGTGTGATTGCAGAATACTTTGGTTAGCTGAAGTACTTGTTTCCAGAAACTCTTCTCCTGTGCTGTGTTCAGAACCTGTTAATATGAAAGGTATATTATTATATTTGATAATACAAATTTTTCGTTTAATATTATTTCATAATATTTGATTTAGCTACAACTGTTAATAAATATGCGTAAAAAAATTAAATTAAAAAATTAAAAATATCCCACGTAAAAATGTTTCTTTTGCCCATATTCAACTGTCAATTTTAATACATGTGGGGTGTTCCAAAAGTAGGGCAAACTACTTTAAATCTCAGCTCTTCTTCATACTTTGCAATTTTGTTGTCTTGAGGATCATTTTAAGTTTTGCAAAATTTCAATTATTTTGCAAGATATTATTATTTAAACTTTTGAGTAACTTTTTTCATCTATTTTTATTTCGAGATCTACAATAGTTAGAAAAAAGTGTTCAAAATGAAAAGTGAAAGTTAATTATTAAATTTTAATAATATTTTATTGGAAAATAAATGTGTCATGCCCCGAAGAAAGGTGCCTAAGAAGCAAAAAATTTGAGCTTATGTTTTTAATTTGTTGAGTAAAAATACAGAAAGAGATTTAATTATTAATTGAAAATTGTTGATCTTCAAGTTTTCATTGTATCCAAAATATTCAGTGAAAATTGGTTTCAAATTCAAATAATTAAAAATTAACTGTTAATGAAGATAAATCTAACAAGAACATAACCTACAATTCTTTTACTTCTCAGGTACCTTTCTTGGGAGCGAGTCTCAAATAATTAATTTTTTTTATTAATTTATTTAAACAATATTTTTTTGCTCGAAGTACGTAAAATTTGTTCTCTAAAAAATATTTAAATAAATGTTAGCAATGTCCTTAAAAATCTCTGAAAATTAGAGAGAGGTGTTTTTCGATATTCGTGAGAAATTAGTTTTTAAATTTTCCATTGCACGGCCCGGCCTTTGCATCCTTGTTTTTCTTATTAACCCTTTTTGTCCCAAATGTCCGTTTTTCTTTATACAGTTTCGAGTATTCCCTTCTACGATTTAGGAGTTTTAAAAAATTCGGGACCTTGGTTTTTTTATGGTTTTGTGTCTTCTCTTTCAGAATATGAAAGAAAATTTCAATTTCGAACAAAAAAAACCGACTTTTTGGATTTTTTTTTCATTAAAATCAGTTTTTATCTTTATAATCGCGTCCAAAATGTTCGGACTATTAGAAAGGTATGATGACGAAAAAATTGTTTTTAAAATTCAAAATGTCGTCTCAAAAATAGTCGACAAAATTTTCAAATTTGGAAAATAATGTAAAAAAATTTCAATTTTATTTATTTTAACATAAATAAAGTGGCCAAAGTGGTAGAAAAATTTTTTTTTCAGCAATTCTTTTATTTTCTGCAGTAAGAATAGATATTGAAAAGTAAAAAAATGTATTGCAAACTTTCATTTAAACATTTTTTGTAGAAAAAATTTTACGTACTTCGAGTAAAAAAATATTGAAAAATTCCAACTATTGTAGATTTCGAACAATCAATATTTTTCTATCGTTTTACTCTATTCCTTTTCATAAATATTTAACATATTTTAATATTAACATCCAATTCGTTATAAAAATTTTTGAAACTTAACCACGTTCTAAACTTATTTATTTATATTTTATATATTTATATTTATATAAATATATTATATAAATTATATAATATATAATATATAATATAATAATTATATAAATTTATATTTATATTTATTTATATTTATATTTTATTCAGTAAACAAATTTTCATATTATATGAAAATTATTTATTTTCACCTCGAATAGTTAATCTTGTCTAACTTTAAAGTCATAAAAATATAAACTTTCATGAATAATTAATTGAATATTATTAATTAAACATTCCTGACGAGAAATAAAGTAAACCGGTATAAAAAATATTAGTTTTTGACGATATTATAAATTCAAGGAAAAGAAAATTGTTATTTTATCTTTAAACATAACTGCGATCATTTTATTATAGGATGATTTTTTAGTAAACTAATAGATTTAGAGAAAAATTGGTTTTATTTGTTTAATTTATTTATTTACTATTTACTAAATTGAAAATAAAACACATTTAATGATTATAGTCTAATAAAAAAATTAAGAAAAACTTTATAAAAGAATTGAACAATTTTTAACCAAGAAATAAGTTTGAAGTTAGTAGTTTTGGTTTATATATTCGGATTTATTGTTTATTTTTAAATTTGATTCTTATTATTGTGAAAATGTGTTGTATTTATCTCAAAAAGTTATCTAAATGTAGTGTCGCATCATTTTGTCAAGAAATAAAAAATTTGTATTTCTTTGAAAAAAAAGTCATAACTTTTGTTCAGGTTAATATTTTTTAATCAAATAAGGTTAAGATTCTAAGTTACGCTAATACCTAAATTGTGCAAAAAATTAAATTTTTTTCCTACCTGCACGGAAAGTATGTAATTTCGGGCACTTAGTGCGGGCGCAAAGTGGCTCATTCCTGCCCGCTTACTGGTGCAGTGTTATTTTTGCATTTTCATTTTCAAAACCTAATTTCTCTTGAAAGAATTGACCAAAATGAATGAAACTTGGACCAAAATAAAGCTAAATAAATGTAGAATAGAGGAAAATTATAGAGAATCCTTTATCTAATTTTGTGAGCTCCTGAGAGCTGAGTGAAGTTAGCATTTTTTATGAAAAAATTACAAATTGGAGTATGAAAACCTTTAAATCATTGTAAAACTTAATAAAACAACTTTTTTGTAAGCATTTTGAATCGCTGAATACAATAATAAAGTTGGTCTTTCGAAATTCAAAATGGTGGACTAAATTTGTATAATATTTGAAATAGGTTTCAACGATTAGTACAACTAAATAAAATAAACTAAACAATTTTTTTAATCCGCCATTTTGGATCCGCCATTTTGAATTTTAAAATTTTACCATCATATTTGGATTCAGCGACCTCGGAAACATTACAATACCACACTTTAAACAAATGTGTGGCGCAAAGATAATCTCGCCCATCCTGAAATCACCTACTTTGCGTTCTTGATACGAAAATAACTATTTGAGCAGTGCACAGACAAAAGTCTGATTTTTCTAAGATAGGAGTGAGCTATGACCCATTACATACAATAATAATAATTGACAGCTGAAACATTTTAAATATAAAAGTTTTAAGAGAAAAGAAAATTGAATTTTAAATAGTTGAAAGAATTTTCTGTTTGTAATAAAATTGAAGAAAGTGCAAAGAAATGACAACTGAAGTAACGAAATATTTTCTTTTTAAGGGAAACCTCTGAAGGGTATGCAACCAGATGAATTGGGATGTGCTTTCTTCGATCCCCGAAAGCAAGCGTTGCTGGCTACACTCTGCGTTGCTGGGATCGCTCTTACTTTTGGAATCGGTCTTATTCTCTACTATAGATTTCGCAGAAGAGTCCGTGATGTTCTCACTGATTACAAGTGGAGTCATCGTGCAATATCTCGAAAAGAACATGAATACAGAAAAACTTTCTCAGAGGAAGAGTACATTGTTCGCGCTGCGCACACTCACCACCACGACTCGCAATCTCAACATTATCTGCAACAGCAGTCCCAGTTGTCTGCCCACCAACTGCCGACAAGCAATCGACCGGTGCCTGTGACGGAACTGTAGCTAGAACTTCGGGCAGCGAGCCCTGGCAATAGCGGTGTTTGGTTTTTGCCACACGACGGCACTAGTCTCGCCGATGGTTTCTCCTACATCGACAGAGACATGGTGCGGCAAAAACAATGTCCAGGGATGCTGTCCAATGCAGGTGTTTGTCACAGTTTGGCATGTTCTAATTCATGTTCCTCAATTGGCGAATTACCTAGAGGTTCAGGAGGTGCGGGTATTGGTGGAAGCACTATTTCTGGCAGAATACACAAGTCAGATTATTTCGGAAGGCATCCGCCGCAACTGGCAACATTGTCGTCTTTGAATAGCAGTGCTGCCAAGAAAGAGAATGCAACGAGGTATCAAAAGTCTCCCTCTTCGAAGTATCAACTCATGTACATACAGGCATCATGCTCTGCAATTAACGGACAACCCAATCAGTTTCATCAGCGAGATAGAAATTGGCTGAAATCGAGCCAAAACGTGCAAGTTGTTACTATGCCTCATTGTACGGAGGAAATTCTGGAACTTGAAATCCATAGTAATACGAATCAAAGTGACTCTTATCTTTATCGTACATAAACAAATTTTTAAAATATTTAAATATTGTGACAATTAAGGGCTGTAATGTTATGAAGTTTATCTTTATTTCCAGAACTGTTGAGTGCAAAACTTCATCAGAGATATTGATTGCATGAGTATTATTTTCTATTTATACAATATACAATGCTGTGTTGCAATTGGAATTACTTTTTTATCATGTTTGTATATTTTAAAAACTTACATTTTTTGTAGTACATTATATAATGTAAACAAAAAAAGTCGGAATAAGTGAATAATGAAAATCCATGTTGGAAATGAATGAAGAAATTAAAGCGATTTATTAATTAAATGACACTTAATTTAAAAATAAAAGTTTTGAGTTTTTATTTCATTAATATTATTTTTATGTTTATATCGTGTAAACTTAATTAAAGGACCACGCCTTTAATGTGTTTAAATATTGGGTACAAAGCCTGATTACAAATCTGAACTTAGTTTTTCAAAATTCAAAATGGAGAATATATAACATGGCTGACAAAATTTAAAAAAATTGACGGATTTTCGAATATATTGGTATCAAGGGATCTTTCGAGTCTGTGACTACGAATTCGAACTTAGCTTTTGAAAATTCGAAATTGTGGGTCAAAAATGGCGTATCTCGTATAAGTCCGTTTTTTTAAAAAAAGCCCGTAAAGTGCGTAATTTGTTTGAGAAAAGACGAAAAGTTCGTAAATTCTACGATATAATTTGGAGAATTTTAGGGAAATTATTTCATAATAATTATTTTTTATTTTATAAAATAATACAAATCTCACAGGAATTCAATTATTTACAAATTTTTTTTATAAATTTCTTCGCAATAATTCACTTATTTTTATAAATAGTACAGTTTTTACAGGGTTTTAATTATTTACGTAAATAATAAAATTCTTTTCAAGAATTCAATTATTTTCATAAATAATAAAACTCATTGCAGAATTACAATTATTTTTAATACAATTTTAATTAAATTCTTCGAAAAATGTACTTATTTAAAAAAATTTTATTAAAAATCGTAGAAAGAATTCACTCATTTAAAAATTTATTGATAAAATTCTTTATGAGAATACAATTTTCAGAAACATTCAATTATTCAATAAGTTATTTATTTTTGAATTTAAATTTTAAATAATTAAATTCTCATAGAATAATCTAATAAAAATTAATTTAAAAATTATTTCACGTTAAATTTTAGATAATAATTAAATATTAAAAGCAATATTGCATTAATTTTAAAAAGGTTTCAATTTAAAATCTTTATAAATTTGAATTTTTTATATTTTTAAATAACAATTCTGTGGAATTAATTTTTTTGGGGAAAGTTTAGTTGCTGATTTCTTTTTTTGAAATTATTTCAAATATTATTTATTTTCAACAATATAAATATTGTTAAAAAATAGTAAAATTCTTCTCAGGGATTCAATTATTTTCACAAAAATAATAAAACTCATCGCAGAATTTCAATTATATTTAATACAATTTTAATCAAATTTCTTGAAAAATGTAATTATTCTTAAAAATTTTATTAAAATTCGTCCAAAGAATTTAATTATTTAAAAATTTTGTTGATAAAATTCTCTGTGGGAATTGAATTTTAAGAAACATTCAATAATTATTGTTCAATATTTTATTTTCTTTTTGGTTTTAAATAATTTAATTCTAGTAGAATTTTCTATTAAAAAATAATTGAATATTATAAGCAATACAGCGTGAATTTTTAGAAATAATTTAATTTTTAAATTTATGTTTTTTAGAAAAGTTTAATTGATTTTTTTGATAGTATTTGAAGTTTTTATTTTCTAATATAAAAATTGAAGAATATACGAATAATTGGAATTTCATAAAATTGAATATTGTAAACAAATGGATTTGAAAATTGTCAAAGAACTTTTTCGAAAATTATTAAAAATAATCGATTTTAAGAAGAATTTTAGTTAAAAATTCTGGAAAATAATATTTTAATTGATAATGATTTTATCACTCGGTCATCTTTAATTATTATAAAACATGAAGAAAGAGATCACTCTGAGTCGAAGTCTCGGAATTATCGATATCTTCATGTGTTATAGTTATGAAAAATTTAATTTATAGTTTTAAATATAATGTTCTCTTATTTGACTCGGAATAATTATATTTTTGTCCTTAACTAGGTATTTTTCATCAGTCATCTAAAGCCGGTTTCCATGTCTGTCATCCGTCGGTGATTATCAGCATCTGTATCATACTAAGAAACTAATATTTATAATAGCTAAAGCAAACGCGCGTGAAATTTCCATTTTTTGTTTACAGATCAAACAGTATTATATTTGTTAATATATATTTATATAATTAGGGTGGCCACATGTCAGTAAAGTCAGGGAAATGTCAGTAAAACAAAATTGTTGTCAGTAAAGTCAGGTAAATGTCAGTAAAAAAAAAATTTTTGTCAGAGAAATTTTGAAAATTGAAATTTTTTTCGCTTATTTTTAAAAATTACGATTTTTTTAAAATAATCTCAATTTTTATAGTGCGAAAAATAATAAAAACAAATCTTTCAAAAATTATTTTTGAATCATTTTTCTATTTAAATTTTCGAAATATACAATTAAAAAGATTTTGAATAATTAAAATTTTGTAAAATTTAATTGAAAATAATGAATTTTTTAAAAGTATTTTTTTAGAATTTTCGAAAATCTACTTTTGAAGAATTTTAATTGTAAATTTACAAAATAATTGAATTAAGTATCAAATATTTTAATGAAAAATCTTTAAACGTAACTTTAATATGAAAATTAATGAAAATTAGCTTCTAATTTTTTTAAATTTAGTATTTTCAGTACTTTCAATTATATATTTTAGAATTTAAATACATACAAAAAATAACAATAGTTTAGAATTATTTTTAGCATTTTGTGGAAAAAAATCATGTTAAAAATATTTAATTAAAATTCATCAAGAAATTAATTACGTTTTTAAATATTACAGTAGGGGAGAGTAGGCTACATTGAACCAGCGTCAACAGTGAACCACTTCAATTTTCTGAGAAATGACTGAGTGAAATTTTTTCATATTTAATATATAAGTTAGTTTTACTGAAACAAACTATGTCCAAAAATTTCGGGCACGTAGGTTTATTATTTACAAAGAAAAACTAAAAAAACTGTTTTTCACGTACAAAACAAAAAATTTGGTGGAATTATAATGACGTTTTTTTATTGAAATAAGAAGTTTTAAAAATTAGTAAACTTGCGATTTATTTCGCTTAGGGTGTCAACTTCAATATTCCGATGTGATAAAGAACTTTAAATCTTACACAAATTTATTATAAACAATTTTTGTTGTGAATGTCATGTGAATACAGTGAGTGCGGCATCATTGAACCACCCGAAAAAGCAAAGAATTTTCAATTTTAAGAGTTGTAAAATTGTCTGCTCTACTAATTAGTAAGAAAAATACTGGAAGACATGCTTTCATCACAATTGTGAACGAGATAAACTCAAACTGTCACTTTACCTACCTAACCTGACATTAAAATACATTAATCTCCTATATTAACAAGTAATAACAATTAAATAACAATTTTCTATTTTTTTGAGTGGAAAATAAGATTTTTTACAATGTGTAAGTGGAAATATTATTTTTGAAGTAAATTGTAGTGTTTTATTAGAGGTGGTTCAATGTAGACACACATCCTTCAAAATAAGAAAAGTGTGACTTGTTAGAAAAAAATTTAATTTAATTATTTAATCATAATAATTTGTGTTTGTAACGTGTGTATTAACTAAAGGAGTACTTCAGCTTAATTTTGATACAAAAACCTGATCGAAATTAGTAAAATTTTATTAGTTCTTGGACTTTATAAAATACCCGGTTCAATGTAGCCTACCCTCCCCTAACTCATTTAAAAAATTCAAGTGTTTTCGAAAAATTGAATTAAAATATTTTTAAAAACTACTTAATTCTTAGAATTTTACTATCATTGTGAATTTTTAAAATCTGATTCCAGATTCGTATTCAACAACCCCAAAAACCCCGCAGGTTTCAGTGTTTCCCCTAATCCCCTTTTTTCCTCTATTTCAAAAAATTACCTTTTTCCCCTTTTTTACCAATCAAATATATTTTATTTGAGTTAAATAAACATATATTTTTCCTGAGCCAGCTAAATTATTTATTTTTTTTGACTTAACAATAAAAAATACAAGAAGTTGTAATTTTACTATTTTGAATATTAATATTTTTAATTTAAATAATGTACTAATTTATAAATTTATTAATAATAATTAAATAAATCCATCACAAAAATTTACATTTCTCAAAATGGTATCCTGCTATTCTCCAGAATGAATTTAGCCGAACGTATTTTTCACCGAATTACAAGTTATTCCTCGAATATTATTTTATCGAATGCATTTTCACTGAAAGTACAACATCAAAACAGCATAAAATTAATGTTAAAAGATAAAAAATTTGTGTATAAAAACTGTCAGTAGGTAATGCAAACAAAAAATTTTCAAAAAACTTTTTTCGGAAAAATTTATTTTGAGACATGGCTAAAAATAATTTTTGCCGTGGAAATGGATTCGGGAGAATCAAGGTTGTGAAAATGTGAAGTCAGTTATGGAATCGAAGAAATCAAAAGAAATAATTAAAATGTTTCCTTTCTTTTTCGGACAATTTAGTAGGACTGATATAATGTGATAAAACTTTTTAATGTGTTATAAAATGATCTAAACTAAGTTAATTTTAAATTGTAGAAATTTCTGAAGTGATTTTATGAAATAAGAGTCCTCATTTAAAAAAAACATGTTTAGATTTTCCGCCGCTATAATTTTCGTAGAAATATCACTTCATCTTTTATAATTTAACTTTAGTTCAATTTAAGGTTTGTTTTTTATTATTATTATTAAAGGTATTACCATTCTAAAAAATATTATTCATTCCATCAACAAGGCAATAAAAAAGAAATAAAGTCAGAGCTAGAATTATAGTGATCTTTTTAACCCAACATTTCAAAATTTTAAAAACTGATGTCATAGTCGCAATCAGCGACCCTGAAAACCCCCGTGTGACAAGTTTCACTCGAATCTAGTGAATTTTAAAATTTTTCGGTCGCCATATTGGATCTGCCATTTTGAATTTTTAAAAACTGTCATCATATTCGTAATCTGCGACCCCGAAAACCCCCGAGTAATACATTTCAGGTGAATCTGATCAATTTTTAAATTGTTTGGTTTTTGGTGGTAGTTTTCGTTAAATTTTTTTCCCTGCGGGTAAAATTTTGATATTTATTTTTTTTACAAAGTTTAAAATATTTTTAAACATATGTTATTGTGGAAGCTGAAAAAAATATCTTT